CTGATGAGATACAGCAAAATATGGCAGGCAATAAAAATGTTGCAGTCTGTGGTTTGTGTCTTCTTTATTCACATTTACTACTGGGAAACATCACTCTGAGTTACTGAAACATCATGTAAAACAAAAACCATAAGTAAAATAAACTGCATATTAAAAAGTTGTGTGTGGCTTTCTTTTGTATAAGTGCAACAAATGATGGACAACAAGAAATGATATGAAACTAGAGGCAGTAGAAATCTGATTAAAAAAGGTAAAAGGTAAAGCCGGGAGATGTGAACCAGCGTCATTGCACATGGTTATAAACCATAAGTGCTCTGCCACCAGTACGGACAGCTGATAAAAACTGTCCCCCTGTGTCGGTGTCAGCACGTAAGTCTGAAGCTTAATAGGTTCTTCAGAAGTAACTCCACACAAAGCAAACTATGACCAGAAAGCTTCAAGTCGTTCCAGGGCCTGATTTTGTAGAAAAACAACAAAGCCACTGCTTCACAACAGTCATGCCATAACTGATTATGTGTTTTGCTGAAATTAGATGTCTTGGGTCGAATGGTGTAGATATCACAACCTTGCTGGAAACCACACAACAGTTTACCAACCACCTTTTTAAAAGTGAATGTAAAAGAAAGAAGCTCAAAGAAGGAAAGGGAAAAGATGCACATAGAAACAACCCAATATTTTAGCTCCATTCCTTATATGTAACACAGTTTGTTTTGTGTTTAGTTTCTTCTTGATGTCAGCTCAATTACAATGTTGGAATCGATGCCACAGGTTTGTGATCAATACTGGAATCGATGCCACAGGTTTGTGATCAATACTGGAATCGATGTTAGATTTGTGATCAATACTGGAATAGATGCCAGGTTTGTGATCAATGCTGGAATAGATGCCAGGTTTGTGATCAGTACTGGAATAAATGCCAGGTTTGTGATCAGTACTGTAGTAGATGAATAGCAAAGCTTTTATCGCTGATGAAGAAAGTGAGCACTCATCAAACCCATGAGGTAATTTTCAGAAATTATGGGGAATATCAGAAGAGTTCAAGACAGAAGTTAGCGTTATGTGGGCAAACATTTAGTATAAGATGCATGGGCATACTAATGTGGAAAGCTTACCCTTTCCCCACATACAAATCCTAACTCATGACCTTTCTCAAATTTTGTTAAAAAAGGAACATATCTGATAATTCCCTGAAACTCTATATTTAGAAACTAGAGGTGAAGAGGAACAAACATATGACATTTGGAGTCTTATACTGTTATTTATTAAAACCCAAAGGTATGAAACCCCAACCACCAAGCAGACACGCAAGCCTGCTAGCTAATGTGTCATCGTGAGCCTCAACTCCCTAACAAGATGAATGCTTTATATTTACAGTCATCATTCTGTGCTAATTAAAAAAATTAAATTAAAAAAAAAACATAAGGAAAATAATCACTAAATACAATCACACAGCAAAGAAGTAATTGTGCTTTCCTTCCCTTTGACCAAGAAATTAAGGGTTTGCTGATAAGCCCGAAAGAGCAAAGTGACATGATCATAAGTTTATTATGATGTCACAATTACAAAATAATGGATTTATTTTTACTCCAAATAATATCTCAGTTTAAAAAAAAATGTATATATATATCTATAAAATCACAGCCATCATGTCTTCTACACACTACACCCTTGCAATCAGTACCAATTTGTTATATAGGTGTAGTGGTTACTGGCCACAGAGCCAAGACAACAAAAGCCTGCAAAAGTCAGACAACTGGCAACAGGTTTAAGCAATTTGGTTTGCCTTTACTGCCTGCATCTGCCCCTTTGCAGGGTGGTATAGTACAAACCTTGAACCTGAGGATTTACGGTTACAAGGCTAGTCCTGTTGCCACGAACTGTGCATGTTAGGACTTTTTCTTCCCCTAGACAGAAAGAATGTCCATCATCTGATCAGAAATCTGGACCCAGGTCTCCAGCATGAGATGTGCTTATCATTCAGCCAACAGCTGGGTAAAAAAATAATGTACACCACATCAACATCATACAAATAGCAAGGCATCTGGAGAAATCCACATGAGTATGGCTGCTGTGAACATTAGATAAGGTGACAGACAGTGAAGGTAACAGCAGACATTACATACAACAACAACGAATGATGCATACAGTCAGCCAATGTGTGGACAAATCAATGTGTGAATGTAGAGAATTATTGGCAAGTTAACATTACATATGCTGTGACTATTAGATGTTGACGGAAATTAAGGCAGTATCACAAAGATGGACCATAATGCTTATGTACGTTAGATGTTGCATGGAAAAAATGGAGTGTTGAGTATATTTAACATAAAGACAACAAATGACATCGACTGAAATAGATTGTGTTATGATGATAGTTACATTTACAATAATGGCAACATTAGATAATGCGAGAAAATAGTGTGTAGGAAAACATGTTAACATCATTTACTAGCAACATTAGATGCTGAGTGAAAATAGATGATAAACAGGACAATAGTTAACATTACATATAGTGGCAAGAGTTGATATCAACATCAAATGTCAGAACCTGGATGCTGGTGAGGATGAATGTTAACATGATGTCTCAACAATATTCTTCCTCTTTACTTTGCATTCTATCTCAACAAGAATCGATGTCAGCTAATGGTGTGGAGAATCATAGTTAACATGGCATATTGAGAACATCAGATGTCAGCTAATGGTGTGGAGAATCATAGTTAACATGGCATATTGAGAACATCAGATGTCAGCTAATGGTGTGGAGAATCATAGTTAACATGGCATATTGAGAACATCAGATGTCAGCTAATGGTGTGGAGAATCATAGTTAACATGGCATATTGAGAACATCAGATGTCAGCAAATGAGGTGGAACATGACACATTGATAACATTAAATGTAAGAATATGAGGTGGAACATGACACATTGATAACATTAAAGGTAAGAAAATGAGGTGGAACATGACACATTGATAACATTAAATGTAAGAATATGAGGTGGAACATGACACATTGATAACATTAAATGTAAGAAAATGAGGTGGAACATGACACATTGATAACATTTAATGTAAGAAAATGAGGTGGAACATGACACAATGATAACATTAAATGTAAGAAAATGAGGTGGAACATGACACATTTATAACATTAAATGTAAGAAAATGGTGTGGAGATTCAAAGTTAACAGGGCATATTGATAACATTAGATGTAAGAAAATAGTTCATGTATAGGACAATAGTTAACACTACATATACAGGTAACATTTTACATTGCAAGAAAACAGACGGTCTGTAACAACAAAGTTGTCATTTCAAATCAACAACATTAGATGCTGCATGTCAATATATACCATATAATGTGACAGATCAACATTAGTTTTTGTATGTAAATAGATAACACACAGGATGACAAGACAGACCAAAAATTAATGTTGCATTGCAATAGATAACATATAAGGTGATAGATCAAATTAGATGTATTATGACAATACATAACACATAAGGTGACAAATCAACATGGATTGCATGCACAACATTTATCACAACATATGGATAATACTGTACACCGAATGAAAACCGATGACGTACTGGATGACGTACTGGATGATGTACTGGATCATTATTTAACAACATAATAAATTCTTTACAGGATGTTTTAAATCAAACCCAGCATTGTAGTTTCTAGGCAATGTTACATTCAGTAGTTTGCCATTGCTTTCTGAATGGTTTAATGCCTTCACCACTGTTTAAATCAAGGCAACATGGTCTGCTAAACGTTGCACATATTGGCACCTTGTAACCTGTAACCTGTAACCTGTAACCTGTAACTTGTAACCTGTAACCTGTAACTTGTAACCTGTAACCAAGCTTTGAACAGGTAATCTTTAATGTTACTACTTAGTATCACCCTTAGTTGTGTACATATTAAAGTTTCAAGCACAAAATTATGAAATACACAGTATTTAAAACATGGAAAAATACTTCTATAATATATATAGCATTAAAAAAAATTTATTTAAACAAATATTTTAAAATATCTAAAAAATAATTATTAATAAAATATTTGAAGAATTTTAACGAGTATAGATGACCTCTAAATTATGTATTATATTCTCCTCTTCCTGCTACTTTTATTTATTTTTTTTTTTTTTATATGCATACTGTTACATGAACATAACATGTTTTATTGATTAAATACAACTGTGTGAAAGATGGGTGTCTGGAAGGGTGGAATGTAAGACGGGCTTGCGTGCCCAATTTGTGATCCTCTGAAAAACAAGTTTGTTCATTAGTTCTCTGTTTCCTCTCTTTAATCTTTTTTATTTCTTGCTCTCTCCTGTGCCTTCGTGTTGTTTCTTCATCTTTCTCTTCCCTTTTCCCATTCTACTTCTTCCTTCCCCTTGCTTCCTTTCTCTCTTCACTATTCCCGCATTAGCGCAGTCAATAGAAGACTCATTTTCAAATCCAGCTGCGACTTGCAGCAGCCCACGGCCAGTGTTCATAACCGGGTGATTCCAGGTGTTCACCCAGCCTCTAAGTAATGGGTACCAGAGTTAACACTCTGGGGTAAATGGAGGAACATCGCTGTAGCTACGGAGTTGCATGAGGACTGCGAGACAGGCAGACAGTTTCTTATCAGCTGTCCGTACTGGTGGCAGAAAACTTATGGTTTATAACCGTGTGCAATAACGGTTCACATCTCCCGACTTTACCTTTTTCTAGAATTTCACTATTCCCATTCTGCTTCTCACCCCTTGCTTCCTTTCTCTGTTCACTATTCCCATTCTTCTTCCCATCCCTTGCTTTCTTTCTCTCTGCATCCTAAACTGACATCATTTATTTCCTTCATGTTTCCATGTTCTTCTTTTCTTTTCTTTTTCTCTTGCATTTTACTTCCATAAACGGAGCCCATCTTAGATGAGGCCTTTGACTTACATATTGTAATTCCAACATTACTTAATTATCTTCTTACTGTCTACACCATCTGATGCTGCTCTTCATGTTTGTTCACAGCTTCCAACCTTGTCACTTGCCAACAATCTCTGATATAGACCTTCTTCTACTGATATAATGTCTCCTGCCTTGTCTTCTGTCAACAATCTCTGATATAGACCTTCTTCTACTGATATAATGTCTCCTGCCTTGTCAGCTGTCAACAATCTCTGATATAGACCTTTTTCTACTGATATAATGTCTCCTGCCTTGTCTTCTGTCAACAATCTCTGATATAGACCTTCCTCTACTGATATAATGTCTCCTGCCTTGTCAGCTGTCAACAATCTCTGATATAGACCTTTTTCTACTGATATAATGTCTCCTGCCTTGTCAGCTGTTAACAATCTCTGATATAGACCTTCTTCTACTGATATAATGTCGCTAGCCTTGTCAGCTGTCAACAATCTCTGATATAGACCTTTTTCTACTGATATAATGTCTCCTGCCTTGTCTTCTGTCAACAATCTCTGATATAGACCTTCTTCTACTGATATAATGTCGCTAGCCTTGTCAGCTGTCAACAATCTCTGATATAGACCTTTTTCTACTGATATAATGTCTCCAGCCTTGTCACTTGTCAACAATCTCTGATATAGACCTTCTTCTACTGATATAATGTCTCCTGCCTTGTCTTCTGTCAACAATCTCTGACATAGACCTTCTTCTACTGATATAATGTCTCCTGCCTTGTCAGCTGTTAACAATCTCTGATATAGACCTTTTTCTACTGATATAATGTCTCTAGCCTTGTCAGCTGTTAACAATCTCTGATATAGACCTTTTTCTACTGATATAATGTCTCTAGCCTTGTCAACTGTCAACAATCTCTGATATAGACCTTTTTCTAATGATATAATGTCTCTAGCCTTGTCAGCTGTTAACAATCTCTGATATAGACCTTTTTCTACTGATATAATGTCTCCAGCCTTGTCACTTGCCAACAATCTCTGATATAGACCTTCTTCTACTGATATAATGTCTCTAGCCTTGTCAGCTGTCAACAATCTCTGATATAGACCTTCTTCTACTGATACAATGTCTTTAGACTTGTCACTGTTGGCACTGAACATATGGCCCATCGTTTTTAAGGAACCTTACTTTAAATAATGGAGACAAAGAAAACAAATAACAACATTAAAGCACTGGCCCCAAATAAACAATGCAAATGTGTTCACATCCATACTTGACTAGCAACCAACACTGAAAGGCTACTGGTGATTTAGCTAACAACAAGACAACATCATAGTCACAAGAGCACATTACTTTTACCAACAGTGTTACCAGTGCCAAACATGGACACTAACAGCAAGACAAAGAAAAAACAAAAGGGAAACAACAGAAAGTAAATGTCTACAACTGAGTCCAAGTACGTCAAGGAGAAACAGGATTAGAAATGATATCAGGAAAACAAGTGGGGACAGAAATGATGATATCAGGAAAACAAGTGGGGACAGAAATGATGATATCAGGAAAACAAGTGGGGACAGAAATGATGATATCAGGAAAACAAGTGGGGACAGAAATGATGATATCAGGAAAACAAGTGGGAACAGAAATGATGATATCAGGAAAACAAGTGGGGACAGAAATGATGATATCAGGAAAACAAGTGGGAACAGAAATCATGATATCAGGAAAACAAGTGGGGACAGAAATGATGATATCAGGAAAACAAGTGGGGACAGAAATGATGATATCAGGAAAACAAGTGGGAACAGAAATCATGATATCAGGAAAACAAGTGGGAACAGAAATCATGATATCAGGAAAACAAGTGGGGACAGAAATGATGATATCAGGAAAACAAGTGGGAACAGAAATCATGATATCAGGAAAACAAGTGGGGACAGAAATGATGATATCAGGAAAACAAGTGGGAACAGAAATCAAGATATCAGGAAAACAAGTGGGGACAGAAATGATGATATCAGGAAAACAAGTGGGAACAGAAATCATGATATCAGGAAAACAAGTGGGGACAGAAATGATGATATCAGGAAAACAAGTGGGGACAGAAATGATGATATCAGGAAAACAAGTGGGAACAGAAATCATGATATCAGGAAAACAAGTGGGAACAGAAATCATGATATCAGGAAAACAAGTGGGGACAGAAATGATGATATCAGGAAAACAAGTGGGAACAGAAATGATGATATCAGGAAAACAAGTGGGGACAGAAATGATGATATCAGGAAAACAAGTGGGAACAGAAATCATGATATCAGGAAAACAAGTGGGGACAGAAATGATGATATCAGGAAAACAAGTGGGAACAGAAATCATGATATCAGGAAAACAAGTGGGGACAGAAATGATGATATCAGGAAAACAAGTGGGGACAGAAATGATGATATCAGGAAAACAAGTGGGGACAGAAATCATGACATCAGGAAAACAAGTGGGGACAGAAATCATGATATCAGGATAACAAGTGGGAACAGAAATCATGATATCAGGAAAACAAGTGGGGACAGAAATCATGATATCAGGAAAACAAGTGGGGACAGAAATCATGATATCAGGAAAACATGTTGGGACACAAATCATGATATCAGGAAAACAATTGGGGACAGAAATCATAATATCAGGAAAACAAGTGGGGACACAAATGATGATATCAGGAAAACAAGTGGGGACACAAATCATGATATCAGGAAAACAAGTGGGGACACAAATGATGATATCAGGAAAACAATTTGGGACACAAATGATGATATCAGGAAAACAAGTTGGGACAGAAATGATGATATCAGGAAAACAAGTTGGGACAGAAATGATGATATCAGGAAAACAAGTGGGGACAGAAATGATGATATCAGGAAAACAAGTGGGGACAGAAATGATGATATCAGGAAAACAAGTGGGGACAGAAATCCTGATATCAGGAAAACAAGTTGGGACAGAAATCATGATATCAGGAAAACAAGTGGGGACAGAAATCCTGATATCAGGAAAACCTGTTGCAACACAAATGATGATTTTAGGAAAACAAGTTGGGACAGAAATCATGATATCAGGAAAACAAGTGGGAACAGAAATCATGATATCAGGAAAACAAGTGGGGACAGAAATGATGATATCAGGAAAACAAGTGGGAACAGAAATCATGATATCAGGAAAACAAGTGGGGACAGAAATGATGATATCAGGAAAACAAGTGGGAACAGAAATCATGATATCAGGAAAACAAGTGGGGACAGAAATGATGATATCAGGAAAACAAGTGGGGACAGAAATGATGATATCAGGAAAACAAGTGGGAACAGAAATCATGATATCAGGAAAACAAGTGGGAACAGAAATCATGATATCAGGAAAACAAGTGGGGACAGAAATGATGATATCAGGAAAACAAGTGGGAACAGAAATCATGATATCAGGAAAACAAGTGGGGACAGAAATGATGATATCAGGAAAACAAGTGGGAACAGAAATCATGATATCAGGAAAACAAGTGGGGACAGAAATGATGATATCAGGAAAACAAGTGGGGACAGAAATGATGATATCAGGAAAACAAGTGGGGACAGAAATGATGATATCAGGAAAACAAGTGGGGACAGAAATCATGACATCAGGAAAACAAGTGGGGACAGAAATCATGATATCAGGAAAACAAGTGGGAACAGAAATCATGATATCAGGAAAACAAGTGGGGACAGAAATCATGATATCAGGAAAACAAGTGGGGACAGAAATCATGATATCAGGAAAACATGTTGGGACACAAATCATGATATCAGGAAAACAAGTGGGGACACAAATGATGATATCAGGAAAACAAGTGGGGACAGAAATCATGATATCAGGAAAACAAGTGGGGACACAAATGATGATATCAGGAAAACAAGTGGGGACACAAATGATGATATCAGGAAAACAAGTTGGGACAGAAATGATGATATCAGGAAAACAAGTTGGGACAGAAATGATGATATCAGGAAAACAAGTGGGGACAGAAAAGATGATATCAGGAAAACAAGTGGGGACAGAAATCCTGATATCAGGAAAACAAGTTGGGACAGAAATCATGATATCAGGAAAACAAGTGGGGACAGAAATCCTGATATCAGGAAAACCTGTTGCAACACAAATGATGATATCAGGAAAACAAGTTGGGACAGAAATCATGATATCAGGAAAATCTGTTGGGACACAAATGACGATAACAGGAAAACAAGTTGGGACAGAAATCATGATATCAGGAAAACAAGTTGGAGCATAAAAAATGATATCAGGAAAACAGGTTGGAACAAACCAGTGCTAAACTACAAAAGAGATAATAGATCAAATGGTTCGGACATATGTCAAGATCACTACAAGATAATGGATCACTTAGACACAATGGAATTAGAACTAGAGGTCAACCATGCAAGCGATGGATAGATGGAATACTGAGGCTGTGAAAACCAGCATCTACGTTGCACATACAAAGGCTCACACAAAATGCCTCTTTACAATGGAATGCTGAAAGGCAGAACAGGGACTAGAAGAAAAGAAGAGGAAGAAGATCACAATATCAGTACAACCAAACTGGCAAATATAAAAAAAAAATGATTTGTGAAAATAAAACAAAAATGACCAGGAAGGATAAAGGTGTATAAAGTCAATCACTGAAAATAAATAATGTTTATCAGTAAATCAATTAGGTGTATAAAAACTGTTCCAATGAATAAAAAAAAAAAAGATGGCATTCGAAAGAAAAAATATGTGACAATAGATGTGACAAGCAGATTTAAACTAGGTTAAATTATATATTACAAATTCACATTTGTACATCGAGTTGAATCACAAGCATTCTTCTTATAATAATCTTTGCCAACTGGCACTGGTAGCCATGTCTTTCCACATCTTCTTTTAATCACCCCTGAAAAAGATGATCACCATGCACAAACAGATCATCATCGGTCGGGAAAAGGGGGGGGGGATGCAACCAAGAGTGACAGGTGGCAAATTTTCAGGGGAAGTGTGTGATGGACATACAATTTGAACTCTGCACTTGCTGCTAAAGATGGGGATGAAGCGCTTATGGGACTGTCTCAAGTGCTATGATTGGTTCACAAATCATGACCAACTGTCAAACGTCTCTCATTGTCTCCCTCCGCCTGTTTTCCCCTCCAACTTTCCTACTGTCACAATATATTAATTTTCTTCTTCTCATGATGTGACCAACGAATACAGAGAGTCCTTTTATGATGCAGATAATGTTTAATTCATTTGTTAATTTCTCTTAACAGGTTGTCATTACACTTTTTTTTCATAAAAATCAAAGTCCCTATTTTCATATAAAAATGTGCAGTAATGAAAGTTAACTGCGTATACACATCTCTAAGTTAAATATGATTTAAAACAAAAGAAACCCCCAAAAAGTCACATACAGTGGCTTGTAGCATCTACAAAAGAAAATTCTGCCATAGCAAATGGCAACATCATAGTTAAAGTGAACATACACATCTGTATGGATGATGTGTTATGTATGTATGTACCTTACCTGGGTATATGTTATGTGCATGTATGTGCATGATGAATGTGCCTACATTCAAGTGTGTGATATGTGGATGTATGATAAGTAAGTGCATGTGATATGCTATATGTTAAAAGAGAAATCCAGAATAAAAAATGTTAAAAATAACCACCCGGCTACTTTGAAGAAAATTGTATAAAGCATTTTACCTCAGAAACTTAAGGGACACCACCGAATATTTCCACACAAGTGTTTTGTGTTGGAATGATTGACTGAATGAAATAATTACTTAATGGTTACAGCTCCGGAAAGTTCTGGAATGTGACATCTTTTCCACGCTTCACTTCTTCAAATACTAGAATCTGTGGAAAGGGTAAACAGGGGGATGGGGGGGGGGGGGGGGGGGGGGATAAGAAATAAGAAGCAAGTCATCTATAACCCATATTTTTATAGACCACTAAAATTCAATGGGTGATCTGGTGGCTATCATGCCAGCTGCCTATACTTCCTCAGACATTTCCCAGTACCAACATAAGGCTGGATCAACCTGGGAGCTCAAGTCACTGATAACAATTTGCTTTGATGAAGATTTTAACCCAAAACCTTTCAGCCAACAGGCAGAGGACTAGCTACTCCACTGCTGTGACTCTCAAGTTATTGTGTAATGGTAACTGTGCTAAAAAGAATTTCAATGAAGTCTTTATGTAAAGTGAACTGTGCCAAAAAGCATGTTTAATATAGTCTAACTGTTCAAATATATGCACTTTTCAGTCCAATATGGTGGATAAGCTGGCCAGCTGTTTTAGTCTTGGCTGGAATTTTGCTTATGCAATGAGACTCGAATCTCTTTGCACTGGAACCTACAGGGACCAAAAAAAAAGGAAGAACAAAAAACACTTGGAGAAGGGAACTAGAGAGCGACATTAAAAAGATAGGGAGGGCATGCGAGGTTTATGCGAGTGGGAAGCTTAGAACGACCTGGCATGAGTTGGCTGGGGGCCTATGCTCCATTGGGGGGTAGAAGGCAGAAGAAGAAGAAATTTGCTTCAAGTCACATACTTTGCTGCTGCATTCCCCATATGTAGACTGAAAGTATATAGTTCCATCACCAAGCTACTGGACTGAATGCATAGTGTGGAGCTGCTGATTTCCTTGTCTTTTATTTGCAATGTTTTTTTTGACCATACTCAACATGGAATGTGTTGTCTTTCTTCTTCTTTTTCGCATTCACCAGCTGTAAACTCCGGCAGAAAGTTCTGGTTGTTCATCCCCTACTGGACTGCAGTCCTGTTCCAGAACCTGAGTGTTGCATGTGCATCCGTTTTACAGATCTGACTCATTTGTATGCAAACTGCTGGTTCCTTGCCTCTCAGGCAGATGCACTCCGACTTTGAAGAAAGCTCCCAGTTAGCCGAATCCTACAACACGCTTCTGGGTAGGCAGTGGGCCTATTCTTGTTTACCCTATAACACGGCCCCGGAACTCACACGGGGAGGTATGTGTTGTCAACTGCAGATTCTGAAAAATGGTGGATGGTTTCTTGTGCAACACTGCAAGTGCAACTGCTGATATACTGTAATAACAGCTGCTTCCATTGATGATGAACTGTAATAACAGCTGCTTCCATTGATGATGAACTGTAATAACAGCTGCTTCCATTGATGATGAACTGTAATAACAGCTGCTTCCATTGATGATGAACTGTAATTACAGCTGCTGAATTTTTTTTTTCCACTTGTGGCGGCTGCCTCAATGCTAGTGATCTTCAGATGAAAAGACCACAGACCTCTATAAAGTCTGTGGTGCTACACATTTCTTCCACTCTGTTCCACACAGCTTGGTTTCCACTGGAGTTAGAACTGGACAAACCTCTGATATATCTACTGTATGCAGAGGTGACAGGTTCCATTCCTGGCACAGAAACTACAGCTTTCGACTTGTATGTTGTTTAGTATGTCCTTCTTTCATTTGACTTCTTTCTATGACTGCTGATTAATAAATTGTCTGTTTGTTTATTATATATGTATATATATAATATTGCATGTAGAGAGCATGTCTTTTTACTCATTCAGTATTCTGTGGTGCCAGTTACGAGGCAAAGGTCTTTAAAAAGTAAATGATGACTTACTTCATTTCTCCCCGACTTCAAGATTGGTCCAGGCAGGTAGAGTGTCTTCTGGGGCCCCATACTCCAGTAACGTCCTAAGTTGAATCCATTGACAATCAGAACACCTTTGCCCCATCCCTAGCATCAGAGTTCAATGCAGACTCATTAAAATCTGGTAATTGAGATTTGGTCTACACTACAATAGTCCACCATAAGGAAACAGCACCACTGTAAAGAATGTGACTGTAGGGAAATGTCACCAATGTTCTTTGTACTTTAGCTAAGTGTAGGGAAATGTCCCCAATGTTCTTTGTACATTAGCTAAGTGTAGGGAAATGTCACCAATGTTCTTTGTACATTAGCTAAGTGTAGGGAAATGTCATCAATGTTCTTTGTACATTAGCTAAGTGTAGGGAAATGTCACCAATGTTCTTGGTACATTAGCTAAGTGTAGGGAAATGTCACCAATGTTCTTTGTACATTAGCTAAGTGTAGGGAAATATCACCAATGTTCTTTGTACAATAGCTAACCGTAGGGAAATGTCACCAATGTTCTTTGTACATTAGCTAATTGTAGGGAAATGCCATCAGTATTCTTGGTACAATAGCAAGCCATAAGGAAATGTCACCAATGTTCTTTTTACATTAGCTAAGTGTAGGGAAATGTCACCAATGTTCTTGGTACATTAGCTAAGTGTAGGGAAATGTCACCAATGTTCTTGGTACAATAGCTAACTGTAGGGAAATATCACCAATGTTTTTTGTACAATAGCTAACCGTAGGGAAATGTCACCAATGTTCTTTTACATTAGCTAATTGTAGGGAAATGCCATCAGTATTCTTGGTACAATAGCAAGCCATAGGAAAATATCACCAATGTTCTTGGTACAATAGCTAAAGGCAGAGAAATATCACCAATGTTCTCAGTACACTAGTCAGTTACACGTAAATACCACACATGTCTCTGGTTCAAAAGCAACCCTAAGAAAATTCCACACATTTCTATTACAGTGGTCAACAACAGGGAAATGCCACAATGCTGCCAGTGTGACAGGCAGGATTACAGAACTCAGTAGTCAACCTCCACCAATGTCTTTAGTACAACACTCACACATAATGATATGCAGCCAATGTCTGCAACACTAACAGTCAACCGTAGCCAAATGCCATCATTGTTTCTAATATGATACCCCACTAAATGTAAATGCCACCAATGATTCCAGTACAACAGCCACCCCTGACCAAATGCCACCACATCAAGAACATGAAAACTGCAGGGAAACACGGCTAAAGGAAACTGTCTAGGCACAATAAAGTTGGTGACACTGAACTATCATCATCCAGTAGTTTACCCTGTTCTCAACATTGTCCTCAAAACAGTCAGTTAAAATCTCTCTCTCTTTCTATCAAAATGCACATTCACAGTTCCTCAGCCATAAAGCAGAGACTGAACACCCAGGAACATTCAGCTGGGCAACAAACGCCTGATGAAGCTGGACAGCAAAAAGTAAAAATATCACAACCATGCTGTAAACAGGCATAAAATAATCATGTCCTCTGATCAGTGCTGGATTTAGGCATTTTTCAACTAAGCTGTAGCTTAGCACCTCATAATCTGCAGGTGCCTCCACACACTTCTTTCCTTCTACACATGCAGTTTTCTTTCAATATAATTTAAATTCAATGTTTGTTCAATACAGCCGTTTAGTGGATTCTGTAATATAATTTCTGTGGTTTTGCAGAAACATTCTCTATTATTTCTTCTACCATAAATTAAATGACAACATATTTTCATCATCCATATATTTTAGAGTTTCTGAGATAAGTTGGTGTCATTAAAAAATGCAGGGCCTCAGGGATTCATGTAGCTTAGGGCTTCAACAAGTAAAAATCCAGCCCCGCCTCTGACAAATTAAAAAGAAGACTGAAGAATTCTGGGAAAATGGAAGCTAAGACCACATCATCATTGTTCTCCATGTGGGTGCTGGGACCTCTCTGTGGGACAACTGAACAGACCCACTGTCTCTCTAAGAAGCTTGTCCTAGCAGCTGACTAATTAGGGGTTTCCTTCAAAGCAAGAGTGCGTCTGCCTCAGAGGCAAGGAACCAACAGTCTGCATACAAATAAGCCAGATCTGTGAAATGGATGTGAATGCAAAACTGAAGTCCTGGGACAAGAACAAAGTTGAGAAGTGGTTGAACAAACCGAAATTTCTGCCGGAGTTACAGCTGGCGAATGTGAAGAACAAGCAGAAGCTCATTACTGTCATCATCATCATCACCATCAAATGCCTTGTCGACTGGTGTGGGTGATCATGCCTCTCTACAACCTGTAGTCTACAACAGCATGTATCAGGTCTAGTGCTGACACCTCACAATGCCATGACTAAAGGCTGTCACAAATCTTCTTGTCTTCCTCTATAACAGACTGAGCTATCCAGACATACCAAAGATCTGATGGCAAACACAGACAAGTATTACCTCCATTTTAACAAATGTGTCGTTGGGCTTTCCTGTGATATTCAGATAAGCTCGATACAATGTCGGGGCTAGTTTCTCCCCGTCTGATCTGTCCTTAAGCTTTCTCTCGTGATCTTCCACAGAGGACCAGGTGGATGACCTCGACAAACTGATGTGAAAAAAGACATGGATTCAAAGAATATAATAGATTGATGCGAACTTGGCAAAACGTCAAATGGCCAGTGTTGTGGAGGTAACCTGTGCGAAAAACTAATGCATACTTATTTTGAATAGTGAAGTAGATATGTCATGTACTGCCCCAATGCTTACTGACTGGCTCATAAAAAGTCGACAATCTGTGTCAATTACTGTAAATTTCCTTTTTGGGAAACACATGACTTTTGGAACACACTTTAACGGACTAAAGGGCAAATATCATACAAATAACAGATTATTTCTTCTTCTGTCTTTTATTCTCAGTGGAGCCCTCATGCTAAGTCATTCTATCCTTCACTAATAAACAAAGCTCACTCCAAGACTTCCCCACCTTTTTTAACTTCATTTTCTAGCTTCTTTCGCCATGTGTTTTTGGTCTGTCTCTTTATCTATGCCCCTTTGGGTTCCAAATCAAAAACATTCTAGCTATATTGTCCTCATGATTTATTAGTATGCATCCAATCCAACAAATGGCAATTAAACAGTAACTACACAGAGGAGTGGCTAGACTGACACATGGAGAGTGGAGATAGCATAGTGGTTGGACAGACCCATGAGGAGTGGAGCATACTAGCTAGACTAATTCTAAGGGGGGTTGGGGGGAGGGGAGGGGTGGAGCTAACATAGAGAAGGCTAGACTGACACACAGGGGATGAAGCTAGCATAGAAGCTAGAAAGCTAGACTGACAAATGGGCAGTGGAACTAGATTAGTGGCTGGATTGACACACAAGGGGTGGAGCTAGCATAAAGGCTAGACTGACACAAGAGGGGCAGAGCTAGCATAAAGGCTAGACTGACACAAGAGGGGTGGAGCTAGCATAAAGGCTAGATTGACACAAGAGGGGCAGAGCTAGCATAAAGGCTAGACTGACACAAGAGGGGCGGAGCTAGCATAAAGGCTAGACTGACAAAAGAGGGGTGGAGCTAGCATAAAGGCTAGACTGACAAAAGAGGGGTGGAGCTAGCATAAAGGCTAGACTGACACAAGAGGGGCAGAGCTAGCATAAAGGCTAGTCTGACACACGAGGGGCAGAGCTAGCATAAGGGCTAGACTGACACATGAGGGGCAGAGCTAGCATAAAGGCTAGACTGACACAAGAGGGGTGGAGCTAGCATAAAGGCTAGACTGACTAGAAAAAACATATATTTAACTGAGGATTCAAACCTGTCTTCTGCATGTCAACCCAGCATTGTTAACCACTCAACCAGCCACTCTTCTTTACAGTTCAATAAACAAGTGACCACGTTCTAATCGGCATTCAAATATACACAAGACCCAAGTTGAGACAGAAGTACACAACAGCAAACATAAATCACTTTGTGGTCTCAATGGCCAAGTGGTCAGCTTGCCTGCCTCATGCTCTGAAGGTCATGGGTTCATTTCATGGCTGCATTTTTTGCAGTTCATGAGTGCAATTTTCATGTAGATCCCTAGGGATCACCTCTAAAACTGCAGATTTTGCGCTACTTGCAGGGAGCTAGCAGTTCTGCAGAGAGACTGAGCCATATGGGAGAAAACCCAGTGCAATGAAGTCAACACTCTCAACTTTAACTTGACACATCAATGACGACACTGTACGTAAAATTACATCTTGCACTGTTCTGGGCTGAAGTTGATGAAGCGGATATTCCACTCTTCGATGATGTCAAATATGTACCGAAACACTGGTCCCTGCAGACCTGCGGACAATCAACGGGGGTTATCAAAGTTAGTGAATAAAGGCATCATTTGCTAAAAAAAGCTTTTGTATAAGCAAATATCATCAGAGCAAAGAGAAAATGCTGACATGTGCTCCAACACTGTCAACTGTATGCTGCCAACAGAGACGCAATCTGGGCTGTTCCAACCATAATGAAGACAAAGCTGCATGGTAAACAAGGAGATCTGAACTGCACAATACATCTCGTAAAGGCTACCAGTCTCCTGGTATAAGTATTCTGACAGGAGGACTGAAAAAGAAGAGCTATGAGAACTGTCAACACAGCTGTAAGTAACAAGTAATAAATGTTAAAAGAGCTGTAAGTAACAAGTAATAAATGTTAAAAGAGCTGTTAGTAACAAGTAATAAATGTTAACAGAGCTGTAAGTAACAAGTAATAAATGTTAACAGAGCTGTAAGTAACAAGTAATAAATGTTAACAGAGCTGTAAGTAACAAGTAATAAATGTTAACAGAGCTGTAAGTAACAAGTAATAAATGTTAACAGAGCTGTAAGTAACAAGTAATAAATGTTAACAGAGCTGTAAGTAACAAGTAATAAATGTTAACAGAGCTGTAAGTAACAAGTAATAAATGTTAACAGAGCTGTAAGTAACAAGTAATAAATGTTAACAGAGCTGTAAGTAACAAGTAATAAATGTTAACAGAGCTGTAAGTAACAAGTAATAAATGTTAACAGAGCTGTAAGTAACAAGTAATAAATGTTAACAGAGCTGTAAGTAACAAGTAATAAATGTTAACAGAGCTGTAAGTAACAAGTAATAAATGTTAACAGAGCTGTAAGTAACAAGTAATAAATGTTAACAGAGCTGTAAGTAACAAGTAATAAATGTTAACAGAGCTGTAAGTAACAAGTAATAAATGTTAACAGAGCTGTAAGTAACAAGTAATAAATGTTAACAGAGCTGTAAGTAACAAGTAATAAATGTTAACAGAGCTGTAAGTAACAATGAACTCTTTGTGGACGTATCGTCACCCTAGTGGCTTCTGAATTCAACACGTTTGGATGGATCACCACTTAAGTGGCTCCACAAAGTTAATTTGTTTGTTCATTCGTTCGAAACTCTAATACTGTTTCGTCTGCTGGGAAAACGATTTCTGTATAAACATGTTCTGAAAAACTAGAATTAGCAAAACTGAGTCCTTTTGTCTGGAAGCTGGTGCCGTGTTTAGAAAACTTTCTGATTTGTTTTAAATTATTTAGATGTAATAAAATGTGCACATGATTGTTCTGCACCGAATGATCTGGGAAAAGATCCAGAACTGTCAATTCGATTCTGTCATTGATGAATCTCAGCCAGACAGTCACAACAGTCTTGATACTATGACTGATAATGCATGTGCCAAACGTACTGCTGATAATATAGGTAAGGTTGAAGTTTAAAAAAAATTATTATATCATCTCTGTTTTGATCAGCTGTTTCAGGAATTCAGTTATGAAATTTGACATGTCATACAAAAATTGTCAGAAAATCCAAAGTATATAAATTAACTGTTTCAGATCAAGACTAGCTGATGCATAATCAAATAGAGAAGACATCAAACAGAGAAGACATGTGAACTCTTAGAAATGGATAGCAGTGTTGTTGAACAAGTTACAAGTAAGGTAAGCACAACATTTTATGTGTAAATAATCTTCATATGTGTCTAACATTATTGAATGTTGTGGGATTTTAATAATTTTGTATTTGTAATAATGACAAATAGTTTATTTTTATTCTACACTCATTTCTCTTTAATTTTATATATATAAGTTTCTATACAGCCATTACTTTTCTACAGGAAGGATTTAGCTTTGTCATTTTGCAGTAAAAAATTTCTACACAAAATTAAAGCTGTCCAAACCCCAGAATTTTTTTAAAATCCTCAAACAGTTAATAAATGTTAACACAGCTGTAAGTAACAAGTAGTAAATGTTAACACAGCTGTAAGTAACAAGTAGTAAATGTTAACACAGCTGTAACTAACAAGTAGTAAATGTTAACACAGCTGTAAGTAACAAGTAGTAAATGTTAACACAGCTGTAAGTAACAAGTAGTAAATGTTAACACAGCTGTAAGTAACAAGTAGTAAATGTTTGTTTGTTTGTTTTAGTATCCAAAAGCCATGAGTTTTTAACCCTTAGGCTCGGTATTATGGATATCGCAACCTTTCGGCCTTGATTCCACTGTAAATCTGGAAGAAAATGTGGCTTTCCTGCCTACCCCAGGGATTGAACCCGGACCACAAGGAGTTCGTCACCCGGTCTCCGCGCAATCCGGTTTAGCCCCCTACGCTAGAGAGCCGGGCAGTAGTAAATGTTAACAGAGCAGTCAGGAACAAGTAACAAATGTTAACAGACATAAAGGAAGAGGTTGTCTGGCTGACTGGTTGTGCTGGATGATTGGTTGGACTGGCTGGTATGATACATGGATTGGTTGGACTGGCTGGTATGATACATGGATTGGTTGGTCAGTTTATTAATCTGATGGTTATGGAAAAGAACTCTTTGAGTCCCATGGACCACATCATACGTTCAAAGGTTCCTACACAGAAGCCTACTGAACGAAAGTTGCGCTAAGTTTTCATCTCTTTTGACTACCTCTTAGGCCATTTTTGCTAAACCCTCTAGGACTCAAAGAGATAATACGTAACTTACAAATGGTGATCACAAAATAAAATGTACCTTTACGCTGGTGATCAAATAAAGCACTTTCCATTGGTGAATAGTTGACTCTGCCTAAGTTCTCAACCATCAAATCCAAACGCTGCGACGGTTTTTTGGGCTTTTTTTCTATCTTGCTTGCAACTTCCTGTAGATTCAACAAGACAACAAAAATTTTCAACTTCCAGAACTACTGGGCATCTCTACAGCCTGTATGACTGTAAACAGATGATCTTATAGCTTTTATAACAGTATGATTGAGTTGTGACAGAGAAGAGATGAGAGCATCACCAGGTAGTATCCCCTATTACATCAGTGCTGACATGGAAGAGATGAGAGCATCACCAGGTAATATCTCCTATTACATCAGTGGTGACATGGAAGAGATGACAGTAAACCAGGTAACAGTATACCAGGTAATATCCCCTATTACATCAGTGGTGACATGGAAGAGATGAGAGCATCACCAAGTTATATCCCCTATTACATCAGTGGTGACATGGAAGAGATGACAGCATCACCAGGTAATATCCCCTATTACATCAGTGGTGACATGGAAGACATGACAGCATCACCAGGTAATATCCCCTATTACATCAGTGGTGACATGGAAGAGATGACAGTATACCAAGTAATTTCCGCTATTACATCAGTGGTGACATGGAAGAGATGAGAGCATCACCAGGTAATATTCCCTATTACATCAGTGGTGACATGGAAGAGATGAGGGCATCACCAGGTAATATCCCCTATTACATCAGTGCTGACATGGAAGAGATGACAGCACCACCAGGTAATATCCCCTATTACATCAGTGGTGACATGGAAGAGATGACAGTAAACCAGGTAATATCCCCTATTACATCAGTGCTGACATGGAAGAGATGACAGCATCACCAGGTAATATCTCCTATTACATCAGAGCTGACATGGAAGAGATGACAGCATAACCAGGTAATATCCCCTATTACATCAGTGCTGACAAGGAAGAGATGAGAGCATCACCAAGTAATTTCCATTAGGGAAATCAGTGGTGACATGGAAGAGATAAGAGCATCACCAGGTAATATCTCCTATTACATCAGTGGTGACATGGAAGAGATGACAGTAAACCAGGTAATATCCCCTATTACATCAGTGCTGACATGGAAGAGATGACAGCATCACCAGGTAATATCTCCTATTACATCAGAGCTGACATGGAAGAGATGACAGCATAACCAGGTAATATCCCCTATTACATCAGTGCTGACAAGGAAGAGATGAGAGCATCACCAAGTAATTTCCATTAGGGAAATCAGTGGTGACATGGAAGAGATAAGAGCATCACCAGGTAATATCTCCTATTACATCAGTGGTGACATGAAAGAGATAAGAGCATAATGCTTAATTTTCAAATAAGAATTATCATCACAGCACTCAGGACATTCCCATAAGCGCTCCATCCCCCTCTTCAGCAGCAAGCACAGAGCTCCAGTTCCAGTAGCACTAATAGCAGTGGGATTGTAAATCCGTCTCACCTTTCGCTTGAGTGCTGATCAGATCCCCTGGTCACTCCTCGCAATACCATTCTATTCAAACCAAGATGACCCATCGGTGCCTCCGCACTCTTCACTCGTCCCTAAACGGCCCTTACAACATCTAGCGTGTCATGCATCAATTCACCACCAGGGGACCTTACAACATCTAGCTTGTCATGCATCAATTCACCACCAGGGGACCTTACAACATCTAGCTTGTCATGCATCAGTTCACCACCAGGTTGTGCAGAACCAGCCAGTCTATCACTGTTCATTTCCTAATACACCGGCACATTCTGAGGAAAATATAAAAGGGTGCTAACTACCCTGGACCTCTGAAACTATGCTTGCCACTCTTCACGGAGCACACCAGTCTACACCGTTCTCAACATACTCTGTGAGAGGTTACAACTATGACATGTGTGTACAGTTGATTCTGAAACCAGCAAAAGGCTGCAGTGACTGCCTCCTTCCCAAACTAATTGTTGTGGTGACATATGCCAGGCTTTGTTGCACTAAGCGATGTCCATTCACTTTTGCTAAGAACCCCCACGCACTTCGTCTGCCTCTCAGCACAGAGCCATCTGTATAGATTATTACCTCGGGAAGGGTCCAACCCTCTGTAAATGAAACTTTTCTGACTTGTATATAGTGACCTGTTTATGAGACGCATAGTTGATGCTATTGGCTCTGTTCGCCCCTGCACAGACATCTGTGAGCTCCAGATATAAATATATTAACTAATAACAGCATTTAGGAGGTTTTCCTTAGAGCTAAATGGCTTTTTCAAAGCCAAAATGACGTGCCATTTTCTCTGAAACCTTGATGATAGAGGTCAGACCCAATAGTTTTGTATATTTAAAAAAAATGCCCTTGGGATTGTCACTTTAGCTATCGAGATTGTGCTTTGTGCTAAATTATTAACAGGTGGCTAGCAATTCTGCAGAGAAAGACAGATCTTTTCAACTTAAATGTAAACTATAAAATACTCTAAACAACTCTGAACAATCAATGAAATGAAAGCAGCAAGTTACAGAAAAATAAAGGGGTCCTAAAATGTGTATTCCATAGTTTCATGTTGAGGCTTTATGAAGACCAGGCCAATAATGACACCTCCAGAGTGTCGAGTCAGTCGAGTGTCAAAGTACAACATTTACTCTGGCAGGGAGGCACTGACTCATTTTAAGGTTACATTCCCAGTTTGGTTTGAACAAAGGATCAACATTATGGCACAAGGGTAGTAACCCATAAGTGCTCCGTTCAACTTCTAACTCAAGTCTGAGTCCAAAGAATCTCAGCGCAATGCACAAACTCTGCAGCACTGACGAGGATCCTGAAATACTTTAGGTAGATTTTAAACTCAAAATTTTGCCCAGGCAGCGTTGTTAGGCTACTCTTTTCAATTTCCAACTGCCAAGGGATTTTTTAATGTGCGCAACAATGTAAGTGGGTGTCCGATTTAATGCCCAGAGACCAGGGGAAATTAATAGAAGTCCATGCGGAAAAATTCCAGCCTTCACTTTTGCCTGAACCTAGAACCTCCAGCATTCGAGGTGAGCGCCATGCCTCGAGACCACTCAGCCCCCGCTACCTTCCCAGTATAGTAAACAGGTAAATATAACTTTTGATTTTCATATTTTCAAGTGTGTCCTTCAATCTCTTTCCTTCTTTCTGTGAATGCTAATCCATACATATAAATTTAATAATGCTGACAAACAGAATACACTGAACAATTTATTGCCTGGCATATTTTGCTGCATCTCATCAGGGGATAAGGACCTTTATTCATTTCTGTGACTGGCCTTCTCTTTCCAGTGGTGACTTTAAGTGATTGCAGGACTGCCTGTTTATTATCTATTTATATCCTCTTGGTCTGCCTCATGCTCTACTTACATTCAACTCTTTTGTGGACTAAATTTCTGTTTCTCTGTTATCCGCTATTCTCTCTATATGCCCAACCATCGCAGTCTATTAGTCCCTATGATGCCAGTAATCAGTGGTGATTTAATCAGATCATGATTTCACTGTTGCTTCTCACTCTCCATTCCCCATTATTTGCATCTTTGATGGGTCTAAAGATGTGACAGAATTCTTCTCAAAAGCCTGTAATAAGGCTTCATCTCTTTTAGCTGTACACCTGTTTCAGAGCCATATACAACACGTGGTCTGATCAGTTATTACGATCACAGTAATCAATATAACCAACAAATAAAAACAATGGGTGCAAAAAGTCACAGAAAAAAAAAAACTCAGAGACTTTTAAACGAACCGAGGAAAATAAAACAATGAAATGAAATATAAATTCCGTAAGGAAACAATGCAGGATAAAGTAACTGATAACAAGATGACCTGGGCTTTAACCAGAAAGCGGAACAACCATTGAGCTTTGTCAAAGATCTGCTCGTAATCACTGGAATAGTTATACATGTATTCATAGGGATCTCTCTGAAATGGCAAGTGCATACATAGTCAGTGAGAAGTGCACACATGAACAGTATCAAGATCGCATAAGTTCAGTGTCAAGTGCACATCTGTTCATAATGTCACATGCATTTGTATTTGCACACAAACTTTTCCCTAAAGCTATGAAATTTATAAAAAGATATCTGTGTTCTGCCCCAACCTTCCTTTGAAGGTTGGCCAGGAAGCATGCGGCTGTCATCGACCAGTCCACCATGGCGCATGATCAGTGGGCCAAATGGCCAAGATGACCAAACAACAACAAGGTTCTGAAATGTCCCCCAAAACTAACTAGAAAGGGTAACTTGGACAAACAAAAAGCCTGATGAAGTTGGATGTGTTGGCTGAAAGGTGCCAGCCAATACTGCAGCTCTTCTGTAAACAGGCAAAATACAATCATGTCTCTAGGACAAACGATGAAGAAGAAGAAATAATGCTGTATGTAGGTCTTGTTAGTCTTGTCAGAAAGCAACTAACTGCCTATGATACTGCAACCAGACAGACAGACGGAGAAGCAGGGCCAATAGGCAGACATTTCACACAGACAGCCACATGTATAGACTGATAAACAGACATACAGACAGATAGGCAGATGAATAGAGGGAAAGACTGACATACAAATAGACAGACTGTCAACCTGTGGGTACACACTAAGAATGCAGGTGACACCTGGCCAATGTGCCCGTTAGGGGGCCCTAACTATAACTTCTTCAGAGGCTGAACAGGGTATCTGGGATCTGTCTTGTTGGTCTGCTGTCCAGGCTGAGATTTTGAAATATCAGCATGGGTCTGGTAACCCTCTAATCAGCAGCCTGGAGGGGACACACTGATCAACTGACAGTGAAACTGATAGTAGATATGTAGTTTAGTAAATAAAAATCAGATGACAACTTCTCTTCTCTTTGGCAGCTTCTGCAGCATGCTTTGTTCTAAATGTTTTTTTGTTAACTTTCATATAGTATTAACCATGGCAATCCCTGGGAGTCGCTGTGGCACAGCAGCTAGAAGCTCGCCTGCCAATCAGATGGCCGTAGGTTCGCTCCCTGGCGGAGCCGACCTTTTTTTAATGGTCCTTTACTTTTTTATGACCAGCTCCAGCAAACAGGTCTACGGAAATTCCCCTTTTTAAACCGGTCCAGGGCCGGTCTGTGCTCACCACTGTTATCGAGTACATTTATACACATATTCAAATACAGTTTAATTAACTTGCAACATATTTTATTGAATATTTTATTATTATTTTATTTTCGAATGGCTCATTTATATATCTTCATAAAGATAATTCATTTAATAAAATATGTTGCAAGTTAATTAAACTGTGGTTTAATTTGTGTATAAATTTACTCGAGAACAATGGTGAGCACAGACCAGCATGCCTTACAAAAGGATAATTTCCATAGACCTCTTCGGCCTTACTGCTGCAGCTGGTCCTGAACAGACAAAGCAACCGAAGGAAAGAATCAAGCGACATGGGCAACATGTGGTCTCGACAATCCTGCCTTTGTGCTAAAGACAGGAGAACTTCATCCCTGGCCTCAGTATCACAATGGGCTTTGATTCCAATGCCTCCCGACATCAACATGGGACACTATTGTTTGATAAGATGGAAATGTGCCAACAACTAAACAGACAAAAACATACACACACAAAGAGGAATATGAAGACAGGGAGGGTGATTCAGAGGTAAAAAGACAAATATAAAAGAGAGGAAGGGTGATTCAGAGGTAAACAAGACAGAAACAACAATTAATTAGATAAAGGTGCCTCTGTGGGGGATTCTGTAGAAAAGATTGGATGACACTGATAATGCTGAATGCACTCACCTGCCACGCTTTGTCCCAGTTGTAATGAAGAAACTGGTGCTCCTCCTCGACCGTCTTCCTGATGTTGTCCATGACAAAGAAGGCCTCGCTGTTTAAGACAGCCTAGATGTCAACCAGGAATATCAATAAACACAGAGATTAAACAGTTGCCGTGACATCACAGAAACTCAGACACAGATGAAAGCAACAACATAGGAGGAACAGAATTAGGGACAAAGCCGGCAAGAGTAACAGTGAGAGAACTCAGAGGAATCTGCAAGAGATTCTTCTGCCTTTCTAGCCCCCAATGGAGCATAGGCCTTCAACAACTCACGCCAAGTTGTTCTATCCTTTGCAATCACATGCAGCTCTCCCCATCTTTCTAACTTCATTCTCCAGCTTCCTTCTCTATGTGTTATTTGGTCTTTCTTTATTCCTTTGCCCCTGTGGGTTCCAATGCAAAGACATTCTATTATATCGTTCTCTAGTTTTCTCAATGTGTGTCCTATCTTCACCTCTTGGTCCACTGGAACTTGTTTAGTTCTCACCCAAAGCTCTACGCTAGCGATTCTATCATACCATTTAATTCCCGCTATTATGCGCAGGCACCAGTTAGAACAGAGGAAATTAAAATGGTATGATAGGATCACTAATGTAGAGCTTTGGGAGAGAACTAAGCAAGCTCTAGTGGACCAAGAGGTGAAGAAAAGACACTGGTATTGATGACACGCTGGGAGTTGGCCAAGAGCTTATGCATCATTGGAAGATGAAGGGTGGCAGTAGCAAAAGAATAAGAAGAGACAGGAGAAAAAGAGCAATAGGAGAAGTATGAAGAGGAAATGGAGAAAGAAGAAAGGACAGAGAAAAAAAAAAAAGAAAAGGATGAAGAGAAAGGTGACGAGGAAGAATAGGAAAAGGAAGAAGATACAAAAATAAGGTGGAAGAGGAAGAGGAAAATAAAAAAAAAATAAAAATGGAAAAGAAGACGTGAAAAAGACAAAGTTTAAACCTCTAAAAAATATTTTAAAAAGAAAACTAAATAAAAAAAAAAAATAAAACACTCACCGTGAGCCTATCCCTGGCAAAGCCGGTCAGTTGTACTCCAGGCATCTTGTTCCAGTGGGTATTACCTCCAATGACGTGTGAGTAAACGATGTAACCCATTACATTGTAGACACCGTCGTGGTCTCTGTAAGTTTCCATAAAGTTTACTTTGTTGTCTGTGGTTCCAATCTAGGGGATCAGTACCAACCATGTAGGGCACACAATGTTTACCGTTTGCAAGTCAGACAGTCATCAATAAGGAAGTTTCAATACCCTTCAGGCACTAGACACATTTGTATAGACTAAGGGGCACTCCGTGATGTGATCAGCATTATGCCAGCCACCTTTACTTCCCAGGACATTACCTGGTACCCACTGTAGACTGGATCGGATCAATCTGGTAGCCTAGACTATTTAAAAAAATCAACCTCAATGTGGATTTGAACCCTAGACTTTTGGGCTGGCAGGCAAGCATTTAACCACTATTCTATCATGGCTCCCTAAAGCCCTAGACTTACAATAACAATTTATCAGGATGTAGGTTCAAACTCAAGTCCTTCAGGCAGTGAGGCAAAAATCTAACCCCAGTGCTAACATGACCCCCTCTGAAGAGATTCAGGCACACATCTACCAACATGACCCCCTTTAAAAAGATTTAGGTAAACATCTAACCCCAGTATTAACATGACCCCCTTTAAAGTGATTCAGATAAACATCTAACCACAGTGCTAACATGACCCCCTTTAAAAAGATTCAGGTAAACATCTAACACCAGTACTAACATGACCTGTCAAAGAGATTCAGGTAAACATCTAACCCCAGTGCTAACATGACCCCCTTTAAAGAGATTCAGGTAAACATCTAACACCAGTACTAACATGACCTGTCAAAGAGATCCAGGCAAACATCTAACACCAGTGCTAACATGACCTGTCAAAGAGATCCAGGCAAACATCTAACACCAGTGCTAACATGACCTGTCAAAGAGATCCAGGCAAACATCTAACACCAGTGCTAACATGACCTGTCAAAGAGATCCAGGCAAACATCTAACACCAGTGCTAACATGACCTGTCAAAGAGATCCAGGCAAACATCTAACACCAGTGCTAACATGACCTGTCAAAGAGATCCAGGCAAACATCTAACACCAGTGCTAACATGACCTGTCAAAGAGATCCAGGCAAACATCTAACACCAGTGCTAACATGACCTGTCAAAGAGATTCAGGCAAACATCTAACACCAGTACTAACAAGACCCCCTCAAAGACAGCATCTGAATGTTTTACTCAACCTGTCCTGTTTTATGACAGTAAATCTTGGAATTTGAATGAACAAATTAAAGAAGTCAATGTTTTCCCCATGTAGATTTCAACAAAGAAAACATAAACAACAACTATATAATTTATTGAATGGCATATTTTGCTGTACTTTGTCAGATGCATACTTCAGTAACATTTGGATAAAGTGAAGAAAATAAATAAATTTTTTCAAATTAAACATAAAATTCTTCTTCTTTTGTTCGCTTGAAATAAGACTATCTATATCTGCAATGTTGTCTCTAGTATGACATAAAACTAACTACAGTCAAAAGTAGCTGTCTATTTTACCAGGGCAAATGTAAGTTCATAATCATATCTTTTTGTCCGCACAAGCCTGGATGGAAGTGATTCATCAGTGCCACTTCAATGCGGCATATTTTCCTGTATCTCATGAGGTGCACAAAGCAAGTATGAAGCTCCAGTGACAATCCCTTATAGTCTCTAAAAACTGCCTTTGCAAACTGTGATGCAATTTGACAATAAAACCACAATCTTCAGAGCGCAAGAAATGGTTCAACCCTCGCATCCGCTGATATTTGTGCCTTGTCGACTTTTACACCTTTGGCCAGTCCCTACTTAAGTCTAGTTAAAGGCAATGGTTCTGTTTGTGCCTGTGGAGCAATTAAGCTGGTTGGATATAAAAACATTTACCAAAAACAGTAGTTCAGGGACTGCTGTTGTGAAAAAAACTGTTAACCCCCCAATGATGTCATAGTTTTGCAAATTAATGAGCAAGAAGGCCACTGTATAATTTGTGTGTGTGTGCGTGCGTGCACGTGTGTGTATGGTATTTAAGAAATTGTATTCCCTACATTCCCAGCTTCATTAGTGTTTTATCTAAGGCAGGAGATAGTAAATCTATAAAATATTATCCATGGACACAAGTTTTTCCACTCCTAAATTTAAATTAGAGCCACATGATTAGAAGAAAAGGCCCGTTAAAATTCATGATTTGGCAACGGCTGGTTTTTCAGATTTAATTGTTTCTACATCGTTGATTTGTCAGGGACAACAGGTCATGCTTGGTGACAATGTGCAGTCTGTTCTGACAGTCCTTCTCTAGGGTCCTTCTCTACAGCTGTCCACTGGGGTCCTTCTCTACAGCTGTCCACTGGGGTCCTTCTCTACAGCCGTCCACTGGGGTCCTTCTCTACAGCTGTCCACTGGGGTCCTTCTCTACAGCCGTCCACTGGGGTCCTTCTCTACAGCCGTCCACTGGGGTCCTTCTCTATAGCCGTCCACTGGGGTCCTTCTCAAAGCCATCCACTGGGGTCCTTCTCTATAGCCGTCCACTGGGGTCCTTCTCTACAGCTGTCCACTGGGGTCCTTCTCTACAGCTGTCCACTGGGGTCCTTCTCTACAGCTGTCCACTGGGGTCCTTCTCTACAGCTGTCCACTGGGGTCCTTCTCTACAGCCGTCCACTGGGGTCCTTCTCTACAGCCGTCCACTGGGGTCCTTCTCTATAGCCGTCCACTGGGGTCCTTCTCTACAGCCGTCCACTGGGGTCCTTCTCTATAGCCGTCCACTGGGGTCCTTCTCTACAGCCGTCCACTGGGGTCCTTCTCTACAGCCGTCCACTGGGTTCAACAAGACGTGGCTGATGCAAAGGAAGGGGTCAGCCTTTTACAACAGCCATGATAAACACTGATAATGATAAGCCAGTGACAACAGACAAGTAGAAAGGAGAAGCTTTTTTGACTTCAACCAGAGCATCAGAACAGCTTCAGTACCCCTGGGTTGGGAACACAGCTACCTAATCCCACTTCCAAAACCAGGCAAAGATCATTCCAAACTCAGCAGTTTCAGAATTATCACCCTACAACATACTTTTAGCAAAGATGTTAGAGAAGATTATTGTGTCTATTGTTCTTACAGAGATGAATACTGAAGTCTGGTTTACTCTATGTCTATTGTTCTTACAGAGATGAATACTGAAGTCTGGTTTACTCTATGTCTATTGTTCTTACAGAGATGATACTGAACTGTCTAGTCTGGTTTAGTCTGGTTTCTCTATGTCTATTGCTCTTAAGGAGATGAATACTGAAGTCTGGTTTACTCTATGTCTATTGTTCTTACAGAGATGAATACTGAAGTCTGGTTTACTTTATGTCTATTGTTCTTACGGAGATGAATACTGAAGTCTGGTTTACTCTATGTCTATTGTTCTTACAGAGATGAATACTGAAGTCTGGTTTACTCTATGTCTATTGTTCTTACAGAGATGAATACTGAAGTCTGGTTTACTTTATGTCTATTGTTCTTACAGAGATGAATACTGAAGTCTGGTTTACTCTATGTCTATTGTTCTTACAGAGATGAATACTGAAGTCTGGTTTACTCTATGTCTATTGTTCTTACAGAGATGAATACTGAAGTCTGGTTTACTCTATGTCTATTGTTCTTATAGAGATGAATACTGAAGTCTGGTTTACTCTATGTCTATTGTTCTTACAGAGATGAATACTGAAGTCTGGTTTACTCTATGTCTATTGTTCTTACAGGGATGAATACTGAAGTCTGGTTTACTCTATGTCTATAGTTCTTACAGGGATGAATACTAAAGTCTGGTTTACTCTATGTCTATAGTTCTTACAGGGATGAATACTGAAGACTGGTTTACTCTATGTCTATTGTTCTTATAGAGATGAATACTGAAGTCTGGTTTACTCTATGTCTATAGTTCTTACAGGGATGACTACTGAAGTCTGGTTTACTCTATGTCTATAGTTCTTACAGGGATGAATACTGAAGTCTGGTTTACTCTATGCCTATTGTTCTTACAGAGATGAATACTGAAGTCTGGTTTACTCTATATCTATTGTTCTTACAGGGATGAATACTGAAGTCTGGTTTACTCTATGTCTATTGTTCTTACAGGGATGAATACTGAAGTCTGGTTTACTCTATGTCTATTGTTCTTACAGGGATGAATACTGAAGTCTGGTTTACTCTATATCTATTGTTCTTACAGGGATCAGTGACAAGAAGACATCCCACTCCATCACCTCAGAGATCTCTATGTTTCCTGCAATTAGAAAAAAACAAATTTGTTTAAATTAAAAAGATTATAAAAATTATTTGCACATCTTTTACAGGACCCTGGAAACCAACCTCGTCATTTGTTGGCTTTTTGTGGTTTTACTAGGTGATTTTATGTATAGCAGTTTGCCATTGCTTTCTGAATAGTTCAATTGTAAATACCATTGTTAAATTCAACACAATTATCCTTTACTTGAATAAAGAAAACAATTTTCAGATTTGTTAAAATCATATTCATAACATCTAAGCCACTGAAGGATGATCAGGAACAAAATCAATGCAAAAACAGATGTCATGATCTAAATCAGGCAATTTCACAGCACATTATTCGGGGTGGGGAGCATAAATGAGGAACCATAAATGCTGTAGGTAACATTTATACTAGCTATTTGAAATTAAAAAAAAAAAGTAATATTATGCATAAAGTGATGAATGGGACACTGTAATATGCAAATTGAGGGAAGGTACCTGGCAAGCCTGTCTAGGGTGATGATTATACTTCAATCACATACGCCAATGTTTCCTAGTCAACAAGTACGATGACTAATGGGTTGCCTACAGGAGAATACCGACACAGCACAGGACTACACAGGCGACATTGTACCACCAACGCTATATAACAAAGCGTGAGCACCAATACTAAACAAACCATCAAAAGTCATCTATGCTAATGCATCAGTCAAGTTTATTCATGGACAAACATATTAGGATGATGAACTGGTGACAAACGACTGAACACTGTCTGTTTATTAAATTCTGCCAAGTAGACACACTGGCAGACTCTAGAGGTGGCACCACACAGCCTTGACTTGATGTGAGTACACAACACAAGACTAGGTTACAGATAGCCTTCAACAGCATTTATCCCTGTATAAGCCAGGCTGACCTACAGGGAAGCAGTCAAAGTCTGCTACTATCAAATGATCCAGTTATATAAACAGCCATCGGCATTGACCAACACTGTGAAATATAAGCAACCAAATGACACAGTGGTCAGATAAAGTATTTGGACCTCACCGTCACGTCTCTAATAACTACACTCACTTGAAGCATTCAGAATAGTACAACAAATTCCACTTCCTCAGTTCAAATGCTCCAGGAAAAAAAAAATAACAATATCATAAACAAAGGTCACCAACGTCTGCTCTGTCTCACTGACCGAGAGACGCTGACCTCTGACATGGGTTCACCTTCAGCGGCTGGTCACACTTAGGTCTCACAATACCAGTGAAGCCGCTGCTATTCCAGACATTCGTCTCACAACTACAAGTAGCCTGGACCTTTTGCACTCGCCTCTGTCATCATCATCATCACCATCAATCACCTTGACGATTGGCCCGTGCGAATATGTCTCTGACCTCGGGCAAACTTTAATAACAAAGTTAGTTAAGCGCACAACAGAAACATAGAGATATCTGTCAGTGGGACCGTAAGTCATATATTTAGAAACATGACAATAAATAGTTGAAAAAGGGGCAGCTATAGATGGTGGAGAGAAAGGAGATAAATAGAGCGAAAAATAGAGAAAAGCAGAGGTTGAAGAGAGACAGATAGAAAAGACTGAAACAAAGAGAGATATACAATTGTTTTAAAAAAAAAAAAATGACAAAGAAAGCAGAGAGACAGGCAGAAAGGACAGGGTGAAAGGGTGGAGATAGATGGAGAGAGAGAAACAGAATATATAAAGAGACAGAAGAGAACAAAAACAGACGTAAACAAAGGAAAAGAACGCAATAGAGAGAGCACAGACAGAGATAGAAACAAGAAAAGTAAGAGAAGAGAGAGACAAAAAAGAGATGGACCTGCTGTTTTCTAACAAAAGGCTACTAATCAGGGGAGTTTCCATCAGAGTTGGAGTGCATCTGCCTGAGAGGTGAGGAACCAACAGTCTGCATGCAAGCAAACCGCATGTGTAAAATGAATGTGCACACAAAACTCAAGTTCTGAAACAAGAATAAAGTCCAGAAGTGGATGAAAAACAGAGAACTTTGAGCCACAGTTTACAGCTGGTGAACGCTGAGAAGAAAAGTTTCCAAAGAAAAGTTTTTCAAGTCTATTCCTTCTCATAACTTGATTATCTGTACCTGGCCAGATGAGCCCAGGGTGCCTAGTGCAAACACTAAGTGTCAGCTTTACATCTGCTTTGATTATCTGTACCTGCCCAGATGAGCCCAGAGTGTCTGGTGCAAACACTAAGTGTCAGCTTTACATCTGCCTTGATTATAATAGTTTAGAGATTAAACTGGAAATTTGTTGATAAAGTTATTGCATAAAGGCACCACTCTGTGTGGGTTCCGGGGCCCTATTATAGGAAAAACAAAAATAGACCCCCTGCCTACCCAAAAGCATGTAGTAAGAGTCTACTAATTTGGAGCTTCCTTCAAAGTCGGAGTGCATTTGCCTGAGAGGCAAGGAACCAGCAGTCTGCATACAAATGAGTCAGATCTGTAAAATGGATGCACACACAACACTCAGGTTCTGGAACAGGACTGCAGTCCAAAAGTGGATGAACAACCAGAACTTTCAGCCAGATTTTACAGATGGTGAACACGAAGCAGATGAAAATTGCATTCAAGTGTCAGAATGACCTGAATTTGTTGATAAAGTTGTTACCTAAAAGTGTCCCAATGACCTGAATTTGTTGATAAAGTTGTTACCTAAAAGTGTCCCAATGACCTGAATTTGTTGATAAAGTTGTTACCTAAAAAGTGTCCCAATGACCTGAATTTGTTGATAAAGTTGTTACCTAAAAGTGTCCCAATGACCTGAATTTGTTGATAAAGTTGTTACCTAAAAGTGTCCCAATGACCTGAATTTGTTGATAAAGTTGTTACCTAAAAGTGTCCCAATGACCTGAATTTGTTGATAAAGTTGTTACCTAAAAGTGTCCCAATGACCTGAATTTGTTGATAAAGTTGTTACCTAAAAGTGTCAGAATGATCTGAATTTGTTGATAAAGTTGTTACCTAAAAGTGTCCCAATGACCTGAATTTGTTGATAAAGTTGTTACCTAAAAGTGTCCCAATGACCTGAATTTGTTGATAAAGTTGTTACCTAAAAGTGTCCCAATGACCTGAATTTCAAGCACCTACAGGATTTTAAAATAGGAATTCTGCAAGTGTAATTACAATTTCTTCAGAGTGACCCATAAGTTACCGGGAATCCTTATGCAAAAGGATCAAAACAATGCTAATTTATACAAGCATGTGCCATTAATAAAACAATAAAATATGGGGAAAATGAAGAAGGAGAAATATCTTACCATAACTGGCCTTTGGTGTGTTTGGAGGGACTTTAGGTAAATCATTCACACCTGAGGGAAAGAACAACAAATTCTAAATGTATTTATAATTTAAACAAAAGAATCACATGGTTTATCTTCCACTTACATGGTAGTGATGTTAATCACAGATTTCTGTTGCTGAGATGTACAATTTTTCCACTGTAGACCTGGTCCTTAACAAAATCATACCAAGCCTACCTCCGGCATATCCCTCCAATCCCTCCTTTTATTATTAATTTCTCTCTAATTCTCCTTTTTTTTTTTTTAATTATCAATTTCTAATTATCTTCTCAATGTGTTATTAGAAATTCACCCATCTCCAATTTCCTTCTCAAAATGTCTCTACAATTTATCTTCTCATTCTCTTCACACAGTTCTCTTGGCTTTCTGACAAACTGTAAGAGATGCACCAGGGTTAAGATCGAGACCTCAGCAGGTCATGTTCCAAGTTAACGGTGGATGATTTACTGCAGCCAGTCTTCACTCTAATCAGCAAACCATTAAAAACAAAAAAAAAACAAAAAAACTCTCTTATCTGTGTGCTTTTAAGAATTCATTTAGTGCATTCTCTGCCCGTGTCAATTACACCCCCTGACTATAAGGACACTTTCCTCCACAGGACATGGGAACAGTACTTTTCCGCCATTTTTTTAAAACACATTTCTGACCATCTAGTTTCCCATAATTCCAAAATTCTTTTCCTTTGTTTTCACTGGCTGTAAATTCTGGTGGAAAGATCTGTCCATTTTCTGGACTTCTGACTCCTTCCACAACTTTAGTGTTGTGTGCACTTCTGTTTTACAGATCTAACTTATTTGTTTGATGACTGTTGGTTCCTCAACTCCCAGGCAGAGGCACTCCAGCTTTGAAGAAAATATGCCTATTTAGTTGTCTTCTATGACATGTTTGTTAGGGAAAAAAACAAGAAAAGCTGGGGAAAAAGGGGGGGGGGGGGGGGGGGGGTGGGGGCTGGCAGAGGGTCTATTCTTTGTTCTCATCCAAACACATGTTGACTATTGTTCCACAGTTTGGGATAGTTGCACCAAATCTGATGTTTAAAGACTAATTATCTCTGTAGCCGTCTAAGGCTTCTGTCATTCAGTAAACGATTAAGGGAGCCACGTTAGCGCAGTAAATAGGAGGCTCCCTTTCAAATCCAGCTGCGACTCGCTGCAGCCACAGTCAAAGTTTGAAACCGGGCGGGCGGTTCCTGGGGTTCACCCAGCCTCTAGGAAATTGGTACCAGAGTTGACACTCTGGGGTGAATGGAGGAACATAGCTGTAGCTACGGAGTTACGTGCGGACTGCAACACAGGCAGACAGTTTCTTATCAGCTGTCCGTACTGGTAGCAGAGCACTTATGGTTTATAACCGTGTGAAGTGACGCTGGTTCACATCTCCCGACTTTACCTTTACCTTTTAGTAAATGATTAATTTTTTAACAAGGCAAAATTTATTCGGGGAAGGGGGGTGGTGTGGTGTGTGTGTGCATGTCTGTGTGTGTATGTCTCTGTGTTTTGTATGTGTCTGCATGTGTGTGTGTGTCTAAGCTTCTTGTGTTTATGCAAGTGTGTGTGTGTGTCGGTGTGTGACTGTGTGTGTATGTCTCTGTGTGTTTTGTATGTGTCTGCGTGTGTGTGTGTCTAAACAGCTGTGCGTTTATGCAAGTGTGTGTGTATGTGTTTATGCAAGTGTGTGTGTCTGTGTGTGTATGTCTGTGTTTTTTGTGTCTGCGTGTGTGTGTGTGTGTCTAAGCATCTGTGGTTTATGCAAGTGCACGTGCGTGTGTGTGTCTGTGTGTGTGTCTGTATGTCTCTGTGTGTTTTGTATGTGTCTGCGTGTGTGTGTGTGTGTGTGTGTGTCTAAGCATCTGTGTGTTTATGCAAGTGTGGGTGTTTTATCTGTGTGTGTTTCTGCCTAAATATCTGCGTGTGTGTATGTGTCAGCGTGTGTCTGCAGGTGTGTATCTGCATGTGGGTATGTATGTGCCTATGTGCATGCTGTCTATGCGTGTGTGTATGTGTCTGCGTGTGTGTATGTGTTTGTTTATGTCTGTGTGTGTCTGTGGGTGTGTGTCTGTGTGCCTATGTGTGTGTGTTTGAATGTATGTATGTATGTATGGGGGTGTGTTTATGTATGTGGGTTTGTATGTCTGTGAGTAAGCATGTGCATGCACAAGTGTGTGCACGCACTTTACTATCCATGCTTTTGTGTTTTTCTTGATATTCATAATATGAATATTATTATACGAACACAACTTAACTGGTAAAATACAAATGCTGTGTGAAAGATGGGTGTTTGGCAGGGCTGAATTTAAGACAGGCCTGAGTGCCCAATTTGTGACCCTATGAAAAAATGTTTGTTTGTTTGTTTATTCACCACAAAGTGTCCTGAACCCACATCAGAAATCTCATATTTAGTTACCCATATTATCTGTGCTATCTTTCTCAGTTTATTTAACCATACTAAAATTGGACCAGGTCATGTCCTGGGAAGTAAAGGTGGCCAATGAGGTGTTCATTAGCTCATCCACTGTGTCCCATTTGGCTGTTAACAAATCTAGGTCTAGAACCATTTGCCTGATAAGCAACTTGTGTGAATAGGGTCCCTGACATGGCGCCACAATATAGCCGGCTGTACTTCCAGTGCACGTACACACAGATACATAAGATAGATGTCAGCAATTTTCACAATGATGTACAGACCAGGTGTGAAGTGAAGAAGAGGCCAATCATACAAATGATGGACAGAGGGAATAAGAGTCCTTGAGAATCCATATTTTTGAAGCTCACAAACAGGCACTCTCCCCACATATCTCAACACCACAAGGTACAAGAGGATTCAGATGACAGATGAGAGAATCTTTCCTAAGACTGAAGGATAGACTACACGTCTGCTGTGTCTTGCCTTACCTATTGACTTGTAAAACTTTCCTAAGACTGAAGGATAGACTACACGTCTGCTGTGTCTTGTCTTACCTATTGACTTGTAAAACTTTCCTAAGACTGAAGGATAGACTACACGTCTGCTGTGTCTTGTCTTACCTATTGACTTGTAAAACTTTCCTAAGACTGAAGGATAGACTACACATCTGCTGTCTTGCCTTACCTACTGACTTGTAAAACTTTCCTAAGACTGAAGGATAGACTACACGTCTGCTGTCTTGCCTTACCTACTGACTTGAAAAACTTTCCTAAGACTGAAGGATAGACTACACATCTGCTGTCTTGCCTTACCTACTGACTTGAAAAACTTTCCTAAGACTGAAGGATAGACTACACGTCTGCTGTGTCTTGCCTTACCTATTGACTTGTAAAACTTGAGTAGCTTGTTTCTGACCAAATTGTATTTTGCAGTGATGTCCCCTGCTTCTGACAATATAGCATCGTAATCTGTACCAGAGTAGAATGAGACACTAAATTTAAAAAAAACCCAACAAAACCAGACAGTCGTTTAAGATAAAATCCACAAATAATTCATGAAGATAACAAATTCCCATAGCAGTCCTTTACAGAAAGTCACCCATCAAACTGTAGTGGCATAAACTGACAAGTATTTCAACCCCTGTCTCTGCCATAACAATAATATCAACTGTAACTCATAACTATGGCCTGACATAACAACATCGATCATAACATGTAACCATGGGCTGATAACATTAACAACAACCTCACACTGCAAAACTAAGGCTGACATAACAACATCTACAATAATGAGTAAACATGGGCTGACATAACAACAACATCTACAATAATGAGTAAACATGGGCTGACATAACAACAACATCTACAATAATGAGTAAACATGGGCTGATATAACAACAATAACATCTACCATAACCGATAATGATGGGCGAACATAACAACAGTAACATCTAAAAAATGCATAAACATGGGCTGACATAAAAACATCTACCATAACATTTAATGATTGGCTGACATAACAACAATACCATCTACCATAACTGGTAACCCTGGGCTGAAATAACAACAATAGCAACACCTACCATAAGCACTAACAATGGGCTGACCTAATGACAATAACACCTACCATAACTGGTAACCAGGGGCTGGTAGCCAGTGAAGTTATTGGCTCCAGACGTAAAGCCAAAGTTGGTGCCACCAATAAACATGTACAGGTTAAAGGAGCCTCCCTCATCCAGGATAAAGTTAAGAGATTTTTCCAGTTCTGCAGATGAAACACACAAGTAGAGTGCTACAGTGTGAAGCCTGAACGCCAGCCGGCTAGACAATGAACACTTGTGTTCAAAGTGAATCATATGTGACTACAAAATGAACATCTGAATACTGAATGAATATTTGATTATTTAAAAGTATATAGCTGATCCTGATAACTGGCTCAACAGTGCGATGATAATCTTTCAGTGATGACAAGAAAACAAGAAAAAGAGGAGACACAAAAAAAGTTGACATTACAATGTTGAGAACAGGGAAGATGTGTCTGAGGAAGAAAAAGAAGGTCAAAGTTTCACAGATGTGAGCAAACATGTTGGTGGCTAGAGCTCTGAGTAATCTTCTGGTTTCTTTGCTTATCAAACTCTCCCTCTTCTTCTTTGGTTCTTCCAGTAACCTCATCCAAGTGTTGGGGAGAGATTCAGGATCTTGCGTGTTACCTCATCCAAGTGTTTGGGAGAGATTCAGGATCTTGTGTGTTACCTCATCCAAGTGTTGGGGAGAGATTCAGGATCTTGTGTGTTACCTCATCCAAGTGTTTGGGAGAGATTCAGGATCTTGTGTGTTACCTCATCAAGGTGTTGGGGAGAGATTCAGGATCTTGTGTGTTACCTCATCCAAGTGTTTGGGAGAGATTCAGGATCTTGTGTGTTACCTCATCCAAGTGTTTGGGAGAGATTCAGGATCTTGTGTGTTACCTCATCCAAGTGTTGGGGAGAGATTCAGGATCTTGTGTGTTACCTCATCCAAGTGTTTGGGAGAGATTCAGGATCTTGTGTGTTACCTCATCCAAGTGTTTGGGAGAGATTCAGGATCTTGTGTGTTACCTCATCCAAGTGTTTGGGAGAGATTCAGGATCTTGTGTGTTACCTCACCCAAGTATTGGGGAGAGATTCAGGATCTTGTGTGTTACCTCATCCAAGTGTTGGGGAGAGATTCAGGATCTTGTGTGTTACCTCATCAAGGTGTTGGGGAGAGATTCAGGATCTTGTGTGTTACCTCACCCAAGTATTGGGGAGAGATTCAGGATCTTGTGTGTTACCTCATCCAAGTGTTGGGGAGAGATTCAGGATCTTGTGTGTGCTGTTTCTAATGCATTGTTTATGCTGAAACTTCATTTCTCTTAGGCTGTTCTTGATGTGGTGATTTCATATTTTGCATTGTCTTCTCCTTGCTATGGGCTTATTATATTTTTTCTATCATGGTTCTCTATGACAGCTGGTTCCAGGGCATTCTCATTAGATGGCCAAACCATCTGATCTGTTGTTTCTTAATTAACTGTTTTCAGTCTTAGTCTTCTTATCATTTTTTCAGCTTCAATTGTTATCTGCCTCCATTCAACTTTCTGACTGGCCTGCTCTTTACAGTTGGTGACTCACGGTGTATGAAGGCTTGCCTTTTTGTTGCCACTCCACTGACTTTTTGGTGTGCCTCATGGTCAACTCCTGTTCAGATGTTTTCTGGACACAGTTTTTGTCTCCGGTATCTGCCACTCTCTCTGTATAACTAAACCACTCATGATGCCAGTGATTAGTGGGGTTTTGGGAACAGATTATAAATTTCATTGTTGCTTCTCTCTCTTCATACTCAACTGTTTGCATCTTTAATGGGTCCAAAGATCTGCCATAAGATTGCTCTCAACAGTTTGTACTATGGCTTCATATCTTCTTGTTGTACTTCAGGTTTCAGAGCCATTTAGCACACTTTGTTGAAGAAGTATTTTATATATTGTGATCTTGGTGTTACCAGACAGAGCATGATGTTTTAGTAGATGTTATAAGAAACTCAGTAGCTTCTCCTTCTTCTTGTGATCACTGAACTGATTTACACTGATAGATGAGTTCTTGTGAGAGGATGTATCATTTTTTGGGAGGTTCTCGTATGTTCTACACAACTCTCTGTATGGTGTTGACTCGCTGGGTCAGTATTATCTTGTGAGTGGGCTGAACAAATGAAGTCTTCTAGAACATGCTCTAGGGTTTGTGTGCAGAGTCCACATGGGGACGATGGTGAACTACTCAGATGAAACCTGTGTACATGCTTGTTGCAGTTTGTTATTTCCTGTCCTGAGGCATGAAATGATGACCTGCCCCTGCCGGTCAAGTAAATAGTGGTCATCTCTGGCCAGACTGCTCACTTCTGATAGATCAGATAGTCCTTTACCCCTCAAAGTATGTTACTGCCCCCCTCCCCCGTTCCATTCTCCACCTTTCTTAGCAAGTTTATCAGCTGTTTCATGTTCTGTACTACAGCTTAATTAGAATATTACCCAGACTGCTGTTATTACCTTTAATATTTGGTGTAGAATGTTTTCCTTGTCCCCAGAAATCGAACCAGCCGGTCCAAAACTCCATGACCATAACTGGGAAATGTTTGTTCAGCTTTCGGATCAGGGAGAAACTGTTGCTCTTTTTTATATCAAAGTTGTCTGTTGGTAAGGCATCTGTTTACAGAAATAAAAATAGCAGTTCACTGTCTATTTGGCTTCTTGACTTCCCAACTTACCTTTTAGTGTGTCATGGAGATCAAGGCTCTTGTTGCTGCTCTTCTGGTCACCTCCAACATGAACAGGTGACTATTGAAGAGTTTTTCTTATGTCATCTGTCCGTGTTGTTCTTGGTCTATGTTTGGCTGTGAGTGACTTTCCTCTCTTGGTATATGCCTTGTATGTTACGGGGAGTTGTGCTAACATAATGGCTAGACGCTTTAACTCTTTCAGCCCCACAGCGTTTCAACAAAGCAGAAAACCAATTTGGCACAGTAATTGCATTGAGAAAGGCATCAATGTATGACTGTCAAAGATGCAGCCCATTTACTGAGCTGCTTTAAAAATATTTGGCTAGATTACTTTTGAGGACCAGGCCAAACATAAAATAAATAAAAACACACCATGTGATACACACCGACATGTTTGGGAGAAAAAGAGTTAATGTATTGTCTAGAAACTTTAAAGTAGTGGCTGAAAAAAGAGGAGAGGGAGCAGTAAGAATAAGAAAAGGGGAGGAAGAAGAAGAACAGGAAGAGGAAGAAAAGAAGAGGAAGAAGAAGGTAGATGGAAAGTAAGAAGAACGAACGAACGAACGAACAAACTTTATTTTCAAAGAGTTACAAATTGGGCACGCAGGCCCGTCTGACATTCGGCCCTTCTAAGCACTCGTTTTCCGGAGTACCAATGCCTGTTATTTAAAATGCATGTTATAGATATAGAATAAAAATATACATTATAGAATATAATACATACATCATGTGTACACAATCTTACACACTCACAGACATATATATATATATGCTCTCACATTCTCATACTTGCACACTCATATACAGACATACCGAAGACATACATCTACATATATACACAAACAGAAAAGACACACACATACATATATGGACATCTATGCACACACACATTCCATACATACACACCTACACATGCATGCATGCATACACACACATACAATCACATGTACAGACACCCACAACCACACATTCACACTCACATGTAAACATACATATACACATATACATACACACACTGACATCTTTACACACATACATACATACTTGCATACATAACTACACCCACATACATGCCGACACACATTACATACATGCCCACACATGCATGCATAGACACACATACAATCACCCATACAGATACTCACATACATACATATATTCACTCATGTATACATACATTCATACTTGCCTACATTATGTACACACATACACTCATATACAGTCACACATACTTACAACACATATACATAAATACACACACAAACAAACTTAAATATACATTCATATATCCACATGCATGCATACACACACACCCACAATCACACACACCCAGATAATGCAAACATATATACACACATATAGATACTTTTATACATACATACACACACATAATACATAACCACATACTTACATACATGCATACATTCATAAATACATACACATCCACAGCTACATATACCGACAAGCATCCATATACATGTATGAATACACATACACCCAGAGACTTACACAGATACATTTACATAGAAACATTCTCATACATATACAGACATACATAATACATGCACCTACATACATATATGCACACATACATACATACATGGACTACATGTACATGCATACACACATCCATACATACACTCAAATACTTAAACATGCTTTCAAACATACACACATCCATACATAAACTCACATACTTACACACATACATACTTTCATACTTACCTAAATACACACACACACATGCATGCATACATACACACACATCCATGCTTACATACACCGACATCTATACACACATACATACATAAACAGACACACATGCATGCATACATACATATACAATCACCCATACAGATACCCACATACATACATCACATGCATCGCACATACTTTCCACATACATAAAAAAAATATATATATATATATATATATATATATATATATATATATATATATATATATATATATATATAGACACATACTTACAAACCTAAATATACCTTCACATACACATATACCCACAATCACACACATGCCCAGATAACACATACATACACACACATCCATAATACATACCCACATACTCACACACATACCAACATTAATAAAAAGACACACACACCACATACCGATACATCTACATTTGCCTACATACATCCATATACATGCATAAATACACACACACATACTTACATGGCTACATTTACATACATTCATTCTCATACTATACAGACAAACCTGATACATACATACATATACGCACAAATACCTACATCTACATGTATACATACATACATACATAGACTACATCTACATGTATACATAAAACAAACATACATCAATACATACATGAACACACATGCATACATACATGCATACATACATACATACATACACAAACATAAAATGCACACACCTACATACATGCATATATACACACACATACACCCACATACTTACACAGCTACATATGCATACATACATTCACCAATCATGCATACATACACAAATGCATGCATACATACACATACAATCACACATACAGACACCCACATACATATATTCACACCTGCATACATACATACATACATACTTGTATAAATAATACACACACACCTACAATCACACGTATACTCATATACAGTCGCACATACACCAACATATATACGCCCACATACTTACAACATACATGCATACAAACACACATCTACTTACAAACCTAAAAATGCATACATATATCCACATACATACACACACTAACAATCACACACACACACCTACATAATACATATGAGTAAGATAATAATGCATGTAAAGAAGAAGAAGAAGAAGAAGAAGAAGAAGAAGCAGCAGATGAATGGGAGGAGAAAAGAATTAACACACTTTTTACACTTTTACACTTTTTTTTTTACTTCTAAAATTGGGCACACAGGCCTGTCTTTCAAGAATTCATCTTTCAGACAGCAGTTGCAGTTTATATATCGAGCATATTATCCTAATTTGTCAAAAATTCATTGAACAAATATAAATTAGAAGAAAGAGTAAGAAGAAAAAGAAAAAGGAAAAGGAAGAGTGTGATGACCCTGCTTTGCATGGTCTCCACGAGTACATTGTGGCAAGCAGGAAGTCCATGCTACAAGTGACGGCACGAGATACTTGTGGCCGGTGGAGTAAGCGAGGCGAAGCCCGAGCTAGCCTCGTTGTCAGTCGATCATGAGAAGTCAGAGAAGACGGTTGTAGTATTTAAAGATGTCGTCTTTATGTCGGGCAAATGGTTAATGTTCGAATATGTTGCGGGTGAAATAAATGTGAAATAAATGGACCAGAATAGACTGACAGATTGTACAGGTGTAAACCAAGGTTCATTCCAAGTTGAATACAAATCATTTCAAGATAGTTGAAAGCGTAACTTCAAGTCTATGTTTTGGTTCATTCCAAAGAGCAAAAAGAAGGTGCAGTAGGGAGTAAGAAGAAGAGAAAAGGAAGGAAGAAAACCAATAAACAAGTCTTGATACTTACATTTACTAAAATCTAGCGCCTTGTTCTCCACATACTTGTCCTTGAACTTATGATCACTGGTGACAAGCAGTTCCTTGACCCCATGACCCTTCATCAGCTGGTTGTGAGAGAGACACAAAACAACAGATGTATGTATCCATGCGGATGATGGCCGGATACACCACCCACCCAGTGTGGATGATGTCTGGATACACCACCCACCCAGTGTGGATGATGGCCGGATATGCCACCCACCCAGTGTGGATGATGGCCGGATACTCCACCCACCCAGTGTGGATGATGTCTGGATACACCACCCACCCAGTGTGGATGATGGCCGGATACCCACCGACCCAGTGCTAGTGTCTCTACACAAACATGAGAGCTGGCCTCATGTGTCTGATGTACCTGCATGAAAATAGTCCTTGGCATACTTTTCTTGACAAGAATGAATGATTGAACCAAGAACTGACATCACTGCACTTGGGACATTCCCATACTTGCTCCGTCCCCTTCTTCAGCAGCCAACAAAGAGCTGACACGCTAACAGTACCAGCTGCAACCTGATTAAAAGTCTGCCTTTGTTTCCCCTTCAGTGTTAAACATCTTCCAAAACCTCTACTCCCCCCACTTGAACTAGTCCTTCAGTGTATTGGTTCTCTATCTGTTCTACTGCACTGGCCATTTAATCTCCATACAGCTTTACCTAAAGTAGCTCATCCCCTAGTGGAGTGACAGCAGCTAATCTATCAGCCTGCTCATTAGCTCACACACCTTAATGTCCTGGACAGAAAGTCCATGACATGCCCTTGACCTGAATGTTTCCAAGTGATGCAAGTCACTCTGCCCGCAGGATGCCAGTTTCAAAGTTCTGAAGCATAGTCTGTGAGTCAATTAAAACATCTTGGGCTGTTCAAGTATATTTCTGACATTAGCTCACACAAAGTTATTTTACAGTACTTTGCTTTAATTACTTTACATTACATTACTTTACACACCTTGACATAACAATAATTTACACTGTGTCACTTAACGTTAACTTACTTTATCGGATTTTAAATAAACCTACAAGTGCTTAAATAAACTTACAAGTGTTTATATAAACTTACAAGTACTTATAAAAGCCACCAAGTACTGTTATAAACCAGCAAGTACATAAACAAAAAAGTACCCAAATATGCCAACAAGTACTTCAACAAACCAATAATTACATTATCACATACTTAGGTATACCAACAAGTTCTTACATGAACACTTACATAAACCAACAGTTACATAAATATACCTTCAGGTTCTTAAGCCAAACCAAAACTCACAGAAACCAAGTTCTTACATTACCCAATACGTATTTAAATAAACCAACACTAACAAAAACCAAGTGCTTACATTAATCAACAAGTATCTGTATGAACTTACATAACCTAACATGCATGGATGTAAGTCAACACTCACATAAATCAAGAGCTTACATGAATCAACAAGTACCTGCATAAACTTACATAACCCAACATGTATTTATTTAAGCCAACACTGACATAAATCAAGTGCTTACATGAATCAACAAGTACCAACATGTACTTACATAAACCAACAATTTGAGGTGGTCAGTATTCTTTCCATAGGCTGAATATTCATTTTCCACTTGAAACATAATAATGGGACCTCCCTCTGTGAACTAATCAAATTAGAAACATTTTTAATAAAGAACAACTAAAACAGTTAATAATAAAAGTAAAATATTTGGTCTATATTAAGAGACATAAACACTTCTTCTTCTTCTTTTCCCTACATGCCGATGCTGCAAAGCATCAGAGATAGGAGTAAGAGTCCTGTCTGTTGCTACTTGCCTAGCTAGTGATAACGCCACAGTGTGTTTCTTTAGTGTCTCTTTTCACTGCATCCACCCATCTCTTTCTTGGTTGGTCACTTGCCTTGCAGCTCACCGTTCTCATGTAGTACATACACTTTAGATGCTGTCTGAATTTTTTATCATTTTTTTCTTACCTTGACCATATGATGGCATAGCACTCTTATAAAAACCATACTGGAGGGAAAGATGAAAGATAAGTAAGCAAGAGGCAGACAGCAATTTAAAAGGAAGGATAACATCAAGAGTTGTGCAAGAGTGAATGACACCAGCATGGTGGAGATAAATTGTAGCCAACCTTTCATGTGAAGATGGCACCTGACTGATTTGCTCTTTGTTACTGTTGTGTAGTTCATGTTGATAAAGGCTCCAGCTGAAATGTTAATTTACCTGTTTTGTGCTCGCTTTTTCCATTTCCCCCCATTCGTTATGCCTTTTTAGTCACAGCTCACTGGACTAGTCACCTGAGCTACAAACATTCATTACCTGGTGCCTGTTCAGAACAGAATGAATGAAATGGCACGATAGAACCATTTAAACAGAGATAGAACCATATATACAGAGATAGAACCATATATAAAGAGATAGAACCATTTAAACAGAGATAGAACCATATATACAGAGATAGAACCATTTAAACAGAGATAGAACCATATATACATAGATAGAACCATTTAAACAGAGATAGAACCATATATACATAGAACCATATATACAGAGATAGAACCATATATACAGAGATAGAACCATATATACAGAGATAGAACCATTTAAATAGAGATAGAACCATATATACAGAGATAGAACCATATATACAGAGATAGAACCATATATAGAGATAGAACCATATAAACAGAGATAGAACCATATATACCGAGCTCATAATGAGATTACGTGGGTTTCAGGACCACATTTTATGAGGGGAAAAAAATAGACCCGCTGCCCCTTTTGAGAAAATTGTAAGAGGCCACTAATTAAGGTTTTGATGTAATCAGATATGTGCCAAAAGGTATAAATATTGCAGCCTAGCTTTAAACCACAACTGCAAGCCATCCTCTTAAGGGTTAATGCAGAAGAGGAATATTTCTAAGAAATGTTGATAAAAGCTTTCACTATATCATAAGTTGCAGATTGTTTGTTGTTGTAGACAAGCATCCGGCTTTTAAAAGGTCATTCTGCTTCACTGCACGGGCTGTTTCAGTTTGCTCATGTCCACTGAACCATGCATACGTTGAAGCTTGGGGATCACTCGTTTTATTGTAACTCAGGCGAGCATTATTTATTTCTGTCCCTCACAGGTCTTCAACAAACTGACATCAAAGCCATCCGATCTTTTGCTCACAAAGAGAAGGCTAAAACTATTTTCAACAAGATGTCAGATCAGCGCCAGAACCAACCGAAATCAGATGGAAACTGTCAAATGTTACATACATTCACCTCTAAGTGATGATGTAGAGTCCTGGGCATTGAAATGTTAATGAGAAAATTGAATTGAGTCTCTAAAGATGTGGATTTACAGAAGAACAGGCTGTGCTCCATGGAAGTAAAAGAAAAACAAACATAAGCAGAGGTTCTGGCAAGACTGGAGATGAAAATAGAGGTGCTGAAAGAAATTTAAAAGACGGGTGAAATATTTTAGCCATATTAAAAATAAATAACATCCTTTTCCAAGCCTATACTGGAGGTAAAAATTCAAAGGCAAGAAACTAAGGGGCAGACAGAGATACAAGTGGGAGGACAACCACATAACAACCGGACAGACTGTACAACCAAGACAAGAGGCAGAGAGTGTTACAGATCCACTGAGGCCAATCGTAGTGATGGCCCCTGATTGATCAACTGATCTTTTTTCTTTCAATCTCCCACAACTCCCACCCCATTGTCTCTCCATATTATATACATCGATGTCTGTAATTCACTTTCTTTTCCATTTGATTTTAGAAATTGGACTGTCAGGTTATCAATCCAACTTCATGACAAATGGGTCACCCTATAACAGCTCTGTTTCTGTGGAAGTTTGTCCTTAGATGCATAGGGCTGTAGGTGACACCTGGCTGGCCCTAATTATAACTTCTTTGGAGGTTGGACACTGCTTTACCTCACTGTCCCATCCAGTTTCTCACTGCAAACCTCAACCTTCTGTTGGATTGCTGGGTAGAACAGAGACACTGTGTGTTCATCACTGCTCCATGAAGACGTCTAAAGGGGATGAATTCAAAAAAGATCAGAGACAAAGCTGGACAACTGCTGGTATCAACAGTTATTAAACAAAGAAGCTGGTGACATAATACTGGACACATCCTGGAAATAAGTGGACATCAACAGGCACTGAAATGGGGAAAAAGTGGATTTAGGAAACAAACATGTCCAAGAGGAACCCTTAGACAAATGCTGTAGAGAGTTGAGTTCAGTTCAGTCAAGATTCAGCAGCCAGTGCAGTTTCAATACTGATGGTATTGGTCATAATCTGGTTATTTGTCCGTCTTGCCTTTTCTCTGAGTGTAGTCAGCCGGCCAGACCCTCTGGTTACACCCAGGTGCCTCATTCTCTCCAGACCATAATAATCTTGTTTTTCTACTGTTCTGGTTAAGATTCCATCCATGATAAAGAAAAAATTTCGCAGGATAGAAGGTATGGAGGACACAGCTGCTGCATAACACCACAAGAGGAAGACAATTACTCTCACTGTTACAACAAGAACAGGCCCAGTGTTTCTCATCTTACCTGCTGTTTGTGCACCAAGGGCAGGAGAACGCTGAAATACTTGTTCACCGCTGACACGTAACCGGGATAGTTACTTCTCACTTTCATATCTGGGTCATGCAATAACCAGCTGAAACAGACATTTCAGATTTCAGAGCTCTATGTGCCAGGTAGGGATTAGACGCACTGTCAGTTATCTTTTTAACTATCAAACTGTGAACCACACCCTACTGGATTTGATCATGTGCATCAGTAAAAATATTTATTATGCTTGAACATTTTAGCTTTTTTCATTTTCAATAACCTTGGCTCCCAGGTTGATCCAGACTTCAGTGGGTCCCAGTAAAGTCTTCGGAAGTAAAGGTGGCTGGCGTGATGCTGACCATACCACTTAATCTATAAAATATAGGTCTAGCCCTATATGCCTAGTACACATTAAGGCGTTAAAAAGGGTGTTTTTCTTTTACTAACATTTTATGTTTGGAGAGGACACAGTAAAACAGCCAATGACACAGAAGACTCATACGAGGGTTGTGGATTTAGTTCCTGCGGGTGTAATATACCCATAAGTTTGATGCTGTCATTATTGCCTTAAATGATCATCCGAGAGTGACAGAGTTCATGTCAATAAAAGCAACTAAAGAAGTATTTGCTGGAATCTCATGTGCTGGATGAGAGGCACATTACTGCAGCCTTGCTGTAAACCACAATACAGCATGTCAACAACCTTATTAATGGCCACGCAGATACAAAAGATACTCATTTACATTCATCTTCTTCCTTTGCTTCTTCTTCTTGTCTTTTTCCTTATTCTCTTTCCTTTTCTTTTTTCTTCCTCTTCTTAGAGGCAGTCAACATGTTTACGATGGGTTCTCCGAATTCCATGGACAGCCAGACTCTTGTTCACATTCACAGAGTGTAAACCCCGGCAGAAAGTTCTGGTTGTTCATCCACTTCTGTTCCAGAAAACAAACTTCAGCTGTCTCCAAGTTCTTGAACTCTTTGAGTCCCAAGGAGTGCATCATACGTTCATGGGTTCCTTTCCAGAAGCCCAGTAAACGCAAGATGTGCCAATTTTACGTCTCTCTTTACTACCCCTTGGGCCTAGGATGCTAAACCCTCTGGGACTCAAAGAGTTAAATTGTGTTAGTTCACATTCAGAGGTTCAGTCACAGATAAAACAAAGTTAAAAGAACAAGACAGGGGGAATAGATGGTAATAAAACAGAAATGCTCCTTGCATGTAAGACAACAGCAACAGCTTGTTTAACCAGAATCATTCATATGGCTTGAGAGGCAAGAAAAGTTCCATGTGACTGGCAGTGACCTTCACTGACCTACTGACCTTAACCTTGGGTTATGATTCCCATTATTTCTGAGTGCACAAGTTAAAACTATCCTCTGGAAAGATGGAAGTGTGTCAACAACATTGTAACAGGGAAGGGTCATTGCTTGTTTGTTAGGAGTTATTTTATGGCGCAGAGCCGGGATGTAACAAGATCAACAAGTTTTGGTAACCTTCTTTTCCTGCAAGAGCTAAATATTGACGTCTTCACTTGTTTGTCACGAGGTAGAATTTTGCGTATTGGTTAATGAGAAGAAAGTCAACAGGTCTTAGCAACAATATTTCGTAAACAGTATTTGACGTCATTGTTTCAAAGAGAACGTGGTAGCACTTGTTTTTTTTAGGAGTCCCTATGATGTCAGCTGTCAATTTAACTACTATATGTGCACAGAATAGGATGATGAAATGCACATAGTAAACATGTTGAGACTTACTAGAATATTCTAGAAGCAGAAAAAGTGAGAAGAAAACAAATAACTAGCATTCCAGCATCCAAGTATAAAAAATGAGTGAGAAACCACTAGAGTAATTCTTCAGTCCACAAGACTCAAGAGAGCAAGGACTAGTCATATGGATCCTCAAAAAAAGCCTCCAGTCTACAAGACTTAGAGACGAGGGACTAGTAACATTGGCCCTCATAGTGCAATCACAGTTGTAGAGATGCCAACTCAACACTAGAAGAACTAGGAGCCAGCCACATGGAGCCTCGAAGATCGACACTAGAGAAGAGACATGAAACAAGACATCAAGCTACAGAGACA